GTGAATCCTCTCACCGCTCCTGAGCCTCTGGCCTGTACCCCAGTTCTGTATGTACAAATAAATAAATCTTTAAAAAAAAATAATTAAAAAAAAAATTTTAACCCTGGGAAAATGGGAAGTATAGAACATATGAAAACCTCCTAATCCAAAACAAGACACATGGGCATTCTGTAAACACAGGGTCCCCTCCTTCCTATGGCGGCACACATGGCTGTTCTGGTCAAGATGTGGGGAGCCAGCCCATTTATCTTTCAAGACACACTGAGCTCTACCAGAAACAGAATTGCCACCCCCAGAGCCCAGCAGTATCAAAGGGTCACTGGCCTCGGTGGACAGTGCCCACCCACGTCTCTACCTGCGTCTAGATCCCCACTAGCTGCTGACCGCTGTGATGTGGCACAGGCTGTCACACTGCCCTTTCCCTGGGACCGGCCTCATGCTCGAGAGGCCCATCACAAGGATCCAAAAGCAGGCGATGGCCTGACTTGATACTTTGGGCAGAGCTTTAAGTGGTCTGGGATTGGCAGCTGTCAGTCCCTGCTTGTGAACAGATACCGTAAAGACCTTGAACCTTTTGAAACGTGATCAGCACTGGTAATTATCTCCTTCGCCAAGAGGGCATCGGGAACATGTGTACATACATGTCGATGTGATTTCAGTTGCGGGGACTGAACAGAGCACCCTTCCTGGGCAGGACGCACGCAGTCCCCTTCGCCGACTGGCTGGTTGGAGACTCAGCAGGAACACTGTCCCTCTTGGGAATGCCAGCATGTCATGTCCATTACGCAGCACAGGGATTTGCTGTGACAGCTGAACGATGGACGCCCGTCAGGATGAAATGCTGCTTTGGCACAGATGGCTGGTGCCTCCACACCCCCACCCTGTTTCCCCCATTCAGACTGTGAGGTAAACTGAAGGGACCCAGGCAAGGTCATCTGACGGGCTTCCACCCCATGTTTTTCTTCACTGTAGACATTTTCATAGTTTCTACCCCAATTTTGCCAATTTGACTGGCATTTTTAAGGCCCAATCACCTAGACTTTGACCTGAAGTAAGGAACTTGTCCTCTGTACTTCAGGGACAGATATATGGATACACACCTTTCAGACTCAACTCAGATTTTTGGTTTTAAAAAAACAACTATTCACCACAAATGAAGATGACCTCAATTAGCAGCCTCCTGACCTCCTAGAGACGCCTCTTTCACCTAGACCCGCAGCACACAGACCAGCACCTAGACCAGCAACAGAGCAAAGATGGCATGAAAAGAGAAGTTTTAAACACATTGGTATTGAAAAGCAAAATGAAATGTTAGCTAATTATAGAGAGGAATTATAAACTGTTAGCAAAAATAAGTATTTAATATGTTCCAAACACAAATGTAAAAACAAGTTAGGATAAGGAAAAATGTAAAATGTAAAACTGAGATGCTATCTTCATTCTAATTATTAGCAGATACCCTTACTAAAAGTAAATTGTAGGTCAGAAAAGATCCACGATCAATTCCAGCATAATATTTCACGATTTTATTTTATCATTTTATCTATATCCATGGAGAACCAGCATGCACTGTTACTGAAGCTGAGGCAACTTTTGAATGTTCTTTCTTATGGTTATGTGTTCTGAGAGATGTTGCATGCCAGGTGCCAGCCACACCTCACAAAGTCCAGGGGTCAGCCTGACCCCACAGAACACTCCAGCCTGCGGGGGGCACCCGGTGCCTCTCTTATGTTCACAGTCATTTAATTCTCAACATCTCTGTCCAACTTTTGTGGATTAAGTAGACATAAAGTAGCTTAAACTGTTATCTTCCCCAGAGCAGAGTATCCACAAGAAACCAAAGAACAACTCCAAAATAGCACCATTTGTTCTGTTACCAAAAGGTAACAGAGTAAGAAAAAACCTTGGCAATTTGCTGCAATTGCCTAAAGCCTGGATGTCATTTTCTGTAAACTGTGAACTCCACAAAGTGCTAGGGAGATAAGTCTATAAACACAAGAACAAACCGAATGCAAATTCCCATTTGCTGGGGACTGATTAGGATATTGGTAACCTCCCAGGATAGTTTCCGATGCATCAGCTTGCCTAGGCTGTATGCAGTTAAACACTAAGTTAGCTGTTGTGTGGCGTGTCTTGCAGGTGAAATGAAAGCCCCTAATCGGCCATACTGAGAGCAAGGGGGTATCCTTTATAAAGTGGGAGAGCCTTTCAATCTAAAGGGCTTAGAAACAGAAGCCTTAAAATAGCTTAAAAGCTGAAGCTTCCCTGAAAAAGAAGAAAAGAATGCCACCTGTGGACAGCTGCTCCCATCTCCCCGTCTCCTGCAGAAGTCTTCTGCCGGAGCCGGTGAGTCCACTGGCCTGTGACCTTGCCACTTTGACTCCGAAGCTATGGATTCAGACTCGCCTGGACAGCACCTGAAACCTGTAGGCCAATCTCCCTTGTAACCAACTTAGAGATTCGCACATACATCACATCTGCTGCCTGACTGAAGTCTGGTTGACACACCCACACCCTGGCAGGGGCTGCTCTTAGAAGGCCCTGGCATGCACCGTACGCACTTCCATACCCAGTGAGAGTAAAACAGTGCTGACAAAATGCAGAGTACACGCCATTACTTCCAGCTTAACCTCATCACTCTATTACAACCTCATTGAAACAAAGTAAATTCAGTAGGAGAATTTATGGGCACCAGTCCATAAATACGGGGAGAGCAGAAAGGCAGGACCGCAAAATCATTTTCAAATGCTGCAAAGCAGATGCATCAGTGGCAAATCACCTAGCAGCCCCAAGAGTGCCGAATCCTAAACCAACAGAGAAAAATGCCAAAAACCTTTACAAACAAGGACATGTGGCAGTGTCACGTCCAGCAGGTGGCTGGAGAGGATGACTTCACTGTGAAGCTCAGGAGTGCAGATGGGGACTGGTTGCTGGTCTGCAGACCATAGGGCTACCGCCTTTCCCTTGACTCAGCATTAGTTGGGAGTTTCTCCTTGCAGAATAAAGATTTCCTGATCTAGAGAATACCAAGCACAGAGCTAAGACTCGGTGCCATTATGGACACAGAAGGGCTGACTGCATGTGGTCACACTGGATGCTGATTGTCAGGAGCCCCAGCCCACGCCCCTCACTGGGCTCCCAGCTGGAAGGGAGAGCTCTTACTGGGTAAAGTGACCAACCCCAAAGAAAGCCTGAAGGGGACCCCCAATGTGAGTCCTCCATGAGCAGCAGAGTCAGGCGACACTATAGGGAAATTCAACGATGAAGCTCCTTTCCACTTACTCTGGACTTTTAAATCCTGAGGAATAATCATTAATGGATACTCAAAGATTACCAGACACCGGAGGGGTTAAAACCTTTGCTATGCAAAATTAAGACCATGGGGGAAAACCAACTTGGACGAATTAGTTATGTGAGAAGAAAAAAATCTGTACTACCTTCAGATATTGTATCCATAAAACAAATATTAACTTGAATGACACTCAAAAATAAATGTTTAGAAATTAAAACTTTGTAAGAAAGCTAAAGAAATCAAAGAGGGATTAAAAGCTAACAGTTGAGTGAATCTCCGTCATGGATAGCAAAATGAAAAAATGGTCATCAGCCGGTCAGAAAACGAAGGAACTCATCCAAGATATCCAAATACATGCATAACTTAAGTTTCAGAAGGCGCTTTCTGTAAAAACTCCAGAACTGCTTTAGGAAGCAATGCCAGAAGATAAACTCCTGTACAGAAATCAAAATCAGGGCCAAGCCTTTCTCACCAGTGACACCGGTAACAGGTGACCCCACAAGGGAGAGGAGAGCTTAAGAAAATTCCCAGGAAGTTCTCAGGAAAGAGGAAAGTCCACACTCTCCAAGAGGCAGTGGGTCTGGTGTGGAGCAGGGCCCCGGCACAGAACATCAGAGCTGGCAGCACAAGACTGCTGCCAGCTCATGCGCTGAGCCAGGCAGGGTCGGGCCGGTCCTGAGCTGGAGTCTTATTTCTACCAGGCTTATCTCAACATGCGCTGATATAATGTCCAGCTCAGGAGATCTCAAGTGTTTGATTCCACAGAAGGGTCCAGTTTGACTTCTGAAATCCAGACATCAGCTATTTTGAGTGTGGAAATGGGCAAGTGCAACCCACTGCCAGGCCCGTCAGGCCCCCGGCTCTGGACAGCGCTGCAGCTGCCCTCCATGGTGGCCCAGACCCAGGCCTCATTAGAGTATGCTCGTGGGCTTCCTAAAAGGGTACACTGACAACTGCGGGAATCTGAGGTTCAGCCTTTGCTACGGGGCTTCAATGGTGCAACGTTTGTCTCTCTTCACACTGCTCAGTTCTGCTGATGCCCAGGGTTTTTAAACCTGAACATTGTTTCAAAGACAGAGAAGCAAGGAAGTGATTAAACCACACATCAGTACAGTGCTTGCTTTGGTGGAAAAGGTGGAGGGCTTCTAAGGACCCAGGCCTCGGGGCTACTTTTCCCACCACCCCGGGTAAGGGACTTTCAGGCCAAAGCAGGTCGCTCTGGAGAGCCACTGAGGCCCAGTGTGTCAGAGCCGGCATGGCCAGGCCAGGCTGGGCCTTCTCTCCAGGGCCTTGTGTGGGCACTGACCCCAGGAGACAGGACCCTGGCTGAGAATATTAGGGAACCCCAGTATTCAAGTCCCTTTTACCTTTCACACTCACACCTGCAAGCCTGACTGTGAGCACCAGAGGCCAGAGCCGAGGCCTGTACAAACTACCACTACCACCACCTACCACAGGCTGGCCAGTGGACAGGGGGAGGAGGAGTGAGAGGGAGGCTGGCGCAGCAAGTAAGCAGGGGGAGGAGGGTTGCTCAGGACTATTACACGAGGCAGGACAACCACAGGGCTGCTTCTGGAAAGCAGCTTTCGCATCAGCCAGTTCTAGCCACACTGCAGGGGAGGGAGCCGGCACAATTGTAGCAATAAAGGAAGTGGTGGAAATGGAAGACGGTGGAAAACAAAAGAAACACAGGTATCTTCATCACAACAAGTTACAGAAATTGACCTTTATTTATTGTACTAAAGTCTGTTTAACTTTGGATACAAAGTAAGGTTTTAGTACAGAAATCCCAGTCTGTCAGAACAGTACCTGTGCACACTGTACCATCACAGTCCCATGTGTCTGCAGCTCAGAAACAGCCCCAGAGGTTGTGTACACCCCCTCGGACTGCCTACAGCTTTTAGTTGTCTGAGCTAGAAAACTTGTACCTGCAAAATCAAAGGGCAGCATTGAGGACTGAAACGTGTTTCTTTTTGAACAACTGTACAAGAAAATATATCCCTTTTTAAAAAAATGTCAGTACGGCTAAACTACCCTCTAGTGTCTAGAATTACAAAGAGTAAAATGAAATCAAAGATTTCCTGCTAGTAAAATGAAATGTTAGGAACAGTATTAAAATATAGGTCCTCCCCCCACTGACACACGGAGCCGGTACAGTACCTATTAACAGGACACACAGTTTAAGGAGGAACCACATCAAATCTTCAGCCGGAGACATCCAGCTGTCAGAAGTGCAAAAAAAAAAAAAAAATCCCCAAATGAAGACAGCCTCGTGGAGTGCTCACGCCGCCAGCACTGCAGCCAGAACCAGAAAGGGCCATTTTCTCTTCATAAGTTTCTGACAGTGACAACTCTCGTCATTTGCTTCCCCTCAAAGTCTGAAACATGAACGTATCCACACATCAAAAAGAGCTGTTGTGTCTGCCCGACACATTAGATGTTAGGACTGAGCCTGCCGAAATTGCACTGTCCAGGTCGTCACTATTTACAGACCCTAAAGAAAACCCACCGGCATCCCTCGCTCTACCTCACACCCTGCCTGAAACTAGCTGTGTCCTCGTAAACCCATGGATCCAGCCCCGGCAGACCAGAGAGAAACGCTGGAACGACACACGCGGTGGAGAAGCAGCGAGAGCACATGGCAGGCAGGAGAGAGAGTCTGAGAAACGAAGACTGGCAAGGTCGCCTTCTCTGGAGCAGGAGGGCAACACTGCCGCTGGCAGTCAGCCCAAGGGGCGCGGGCCTGGACCCCAGGCGGGTGGACACCTGCAGCAGAGACAGATGGCCCTTCCAGGAGAGGTGCTGCCGACGGGCAGGACCTTGGTCAAAGCTCTGGTCCCACCGGCAAGAACCTCCCAAGGCAAAGCAGTCCCCAGTGAGGTTCCAGAGTCGTTTTGCTGAAAACAGGAACAAGACCAACATCAAAGCAACACTGGGGAGTGGATAAAGGGCGAGGGGCTGGACCCCGACAATGTGGGGCCGTTCAAGTAAACATAAACAATCAAATAAAATACTTAGAAAAGGCTTGTAAACGTGTGATTTGGAAGGTTCTCTCTGCAGCATCTCTGATGAGCTGGCTAAAGAAAGGTGGGCGTTGACCCCTCTGTCCAAAGTTTTTCGTGGTTTTTTGTCTTAAAGCACACATGTGAGAGGAACAGTCTGCTGGCTGGGGCCCAGACCCCGTTTGTCGCGGCCCTCTGCCTGTAAAGGAGGTGCTTCTGGAGTCCTGGGCCCTGGGTCGCTCTCCTTCGTGCTTATCTACAAGTGGACTTTTAATTTTTGTCACTGAAAACGGTCTGGGCCCGGCGTCTGCAACAGTGGGCCAGCCGTGGCCGCTCCAAGGCACGCTGCTACAGCGGGCAGGCGGGAATCCACAGGACTTTGTTCTGTTCTTGGTGAACCATCGCTGAGATCTGAGTGCACACACTGGACAAAGCTCCTCCCTGGACGACCCCTGCAAAAGAGCCCCAGACACACGACACTGAGCCAGCAGGCGACCTGGCTTGGCCGCGAGCCCAGTGTACCTGTTTCTGTTTGCTTTTCTGCCTGTTGAGAGTTACTTGACCCTATTGCTCTACTCCCATTAGCAAAAGTTGGGGAAGAAAAGAGTCCAGTACAAATCACGGCCGCTTCTCATCTGTCTCTGCTGTCAGCTGCAGAGCAGGGTGCTGAATATGGGCTCAGAGGAAGCTTGGTGCCCGATGCCAATGGCTCACGGATCCTGTGACACGGACCAGCAGGACCCGGCCACGGTGTCAACCTCCCACTGCTTACTACAGTCGTGCCCGGGGCAGCTTCGCGTGGCCTGGCCACAGGGCATCCCAGCACAATGGAAATCTGCTTGGTGGGGGGGGGGGGGGGTGGTCGGATGCAATCAGCCACAGGAGTGTAAGGAACATGGGGATGGTTTCAGGCACCAGAGGCGGAATCCCTCGGCCCCAAAAGATCCCCAGCGAAGATGAGAACATGGCCGGCTCTGGCCGCGCAGCTCTGCTCTACAGGCTTCAGCACCAGGAGCCCAGAGACGCCTGCCAGGTGCTCCGCTCACAGCACTGGGAGGCGGAGGCCGAGGCCGGCGCGGTGCCGGGCACACGCAGACCCACAGTGAGCGTTCAGCCACCGCTATGGAGACGTGACTGCATGACAAAAACTATTTTGTGGGCACTAAAGGGTTTAAATTTCACTTCTCTCATAACTGTTGGTGTGTCTAAAAACTGGTATGTGTCAGAGTGAAAACTAAAGCGCACGCAGAGACCCAATCCCCGCTGTGATCTGGCGTAAATCCCTGTCGCTCTATGCGCAGGTAGTTATTAACCTCCCTACAATGACTGAAGAGTAGAAGAGGCTGAAATCACAAACATGGCGGCCAGTACATCAGGGCCAAGCTGCTTTTGGTTTGCTTTGCCACGGAGCCCCGAGGCGGTCAGGGGTCCGGGTGCAGCTGTCCCGTGGCAACCCCCCGGGCGGCACTGCTCTGACTCGAAGATTGCTGGGGCGGAGACGGACACCGGCTGCAGGCCAGGCGGCGCCCATGCCCGCGCCGAGCGCGCGCTCAGCGAACTGCCCCTGGTGACGGCTCGAGCGCCTCCTGGAGTACGTGGCTTTGGGGACTTGCCTCTCCCGCGGCCCGCTGCTCCGGCGCAGCCCAGAGGCACGCCTACCTGTGAAGAACCTGCTGTACTCCTGCTCAATCTTCTGAGCAGTCTCAAACTGCTCTTTGGAATGCCGCTGAGTCACCTTGTCCTTCAGGTAGATGGGGTCTCTCTGCTCCCTAACGGGAGAATGGGGAAAAGGCTGAGCCTCCACCTCGCCAAGCCCTCCTTCCCTCCTTTGTGCAGAGTCCTGGGGAGCCCCACCACCACAGGGACCCCCACGGGCTTCCCTCAGAAGCACGTCCGCAGCCTAAAGCCCCAGTACGATCCTGGCTGGGGGGCGATGGGGAGGACAGCTAGGGGTGTGTGAGCGCCCAGTGCATACACGCCGCGCAGACACACCGGCTGGTTCTCAGCGCCGGTACCAAAGGCTCGGAAGCCCAGAAAGGACCGGTGGAGCGGGGCGTTTCTAACACAGCGCCGCGGAGGCGGAAGGAAGAGCCGTGAGTGCAAGGCCTCGAGTCAGGCACCAGCTCAGGGCTGAACTAGACCTGGGGCAGGACACTAGTTCTGCGTGCTCGCCAGAACCAAACCCAGAGGCAGCGGGCGGGGAGGGGGCCAGGGGAGCTAGGTGGCCCGAGGTGGACACAGGAAGCTCAACAGTCACACCCCACTCGGGGCAATGCCAGGCCCGCGCCACCTGAAGGGGAGGCTGGCCAGCTGGATGCTCCAGAGAGAAGGTGGTTCCTCCGCGGGCGGCGTCTTTCCATCAGTTCCACCCCGCCCCACTCCCTAACCACCGGCCGCTGGAGCCAGCAGCCTCACGCTCAGCAAGGCCCAAGGCACAGCCCCACGGGGCCAGTCACCTACTTGATGTGCTTGGCGCTCTTGTAGTGGATGAAAATCACGATGGGGTAGATGTGCATGTGGTGCAGCCGCTCGATGGCGTGGGGGGCGACGTCCAGCAGACAGTGCCGGTTCTGCGGGAGACAGGCCATGAGCCCCGGGCGGCAGGCACAGGGCCCAGGCCTCAGGAGCACTGGGGCCCCCTTAAGGACACCTCCCACTTTTCTCTGCACCTGTGGGTCCCACCCATCACCTCAGTCAGTCTCCTTTCCCCCCTACACAAACACCCATGAATGAGGCCGCCAAACCAGACTTGCAAGAGAATGGCGAACTGGGGCGATCTGGCCAGGATCCCCACCAGCTGCCAGCTGCCAGCTACGAATGAGGCTTGGGGCCAGACTGCGGGGATTTTTCCTCCCTTTGACCAGAAAGAGGGTACTTCTGAAAGCCCTACTAGCCCTAGTCTGGCTTCAGAAGCCTTGCTTGTGCCAGACCCAGCCAAGGAAGGCCCAGCGACTCTGGTGGGGCGTGCAGCGGGGGTGGGGGGCAGTGTGCTTGCCTGGCTGTGACTGAAATCCATCTCCTGGCTCCAGGCCAAGCGAGCCAAAGGGAGGCCGGACAGTGCCATCTATGGCTTCCCCCCCGCCCTTTCCCAGAAGCCACGCTGAGCACCCCCAACACTGGCAGCCTTTCTCACTTCCTTGGACACCAGCTGGGACCCTGTCCACTTCAGCAGGGCATTCCAGACGGAAAGCTGTTAGGCAGGCAACTCCTCCCTTAATAGCGGAGGAAAGCAAAGCCAAAAGCAAGATGAATGGAGCCAGGGGGCGCCCACACGACACTCAGTCTCCTTGCCTTTCCAAAATACCCTGAGGAGTCCCCCACTTCCTCAGACTGACAAAGGGACTCCACTACATTGAAAAGGCTAAAGGCCCAGCAACGGTTCTGAACGCTCTCAGTCAGGGCCCCGAATGGAAACTGTGTACCCTGCCCCTAGAATAGGGCCCATGTAATAAAACTTCTGCAGACAAGCTCCCCAGATGCCTCCTGGGACGGGCTGTAGCATTCCCAGTAAGAGGCCCTTGCTCGAGTCCAAAGCTCCCCACAGGCCCCCTCGGGGAGCTGACACATCCCAGCGAGACGACTACACACTTGCCCAGACCAGCGTCCCACTCATGACGGCAGAAGCTCACAGAGTGACGGCGCAAGCACCGAGTGGGACAGTTGGGAGCAACAGAACAGGTGCACTCACTGACGGTCCAGACACACATGGGCAGAGGGTCAAAGGCAACGGGCCCCCTCATGGAGGCCAGGACAGTGCGGAACAGGAAACAACCCCCAGTCACAGCAATAGCTACCTTTTCTGTGACCTCCTTTATGGAAGCCACCGTGGTCACATCAAAATGGCCACTCCTCCGCTTGTAGTCAACAAACAGGCAGTCTTTGACTCCACGCTCAATGGCCTGCTGGGAGGCCTTCATCACCTCTGCAAAGCACAGATGCAGGGATTAGGATGCCAGGTTTGGGGAAAGAACACTGTGCACAAGAGGTGGGAGGAAGCTGGTCCTGCCGTCGTCGTCTTCTGGAGAAAGAACCAGAGGCCACGTGCTGACCTGATCTAAGTCAGAAGGGTTCTGCGATACCCTGGGGCCTGGCCCCAGGAGGCCCATACACACGGAGAGGAACAGACCCAACCCGGCAGGCACAGAGGGCATCCCTTACCAAGGGGGCATCTGCAGAACTTGCCGGGTGCCTCGTTCACCAGCATTTCCTTCACCACATCCAGTAAAGGCCCCAGGATCAGGACGGGCCGAGGGGAGGTACAGTCTACCTTCTGTACCTGCTGATACGCAAGGCTCACCGAATCTGGGGGAGAAAGGGACAATGACATGACACTGGCCTGGAAGGAAAAGTGAAGGTGGCTGGGGACCACGGTTCCCCTGGCCTTGGCTCACCCCAGGTAGGTCCACCCTCTTTATTCCAAATCCAGAGTCAGGTAGGGTGCTCAACTGGCCCAATCTTAGCACTGACAGTCCTGCAACCTGGACACACCAGGGCACCGGGGCCTGTTCATTCCTAAAAACCAGCACAAGTGTCCTGGGCTCCATGATCACCCCACCCCTGTCATTTCAACACTTTCTCTGGCTCCGATTCTCCCCTATGTGGCTCCTATCTGCTTCCCTAACACCCATGTCCCTTCTCGCTTCTCTAGGGACATAATCTTGCGAGGTCTGGCAGCTACAAGCTCCACTGCAAGCAGGTAATGACTCAGACCTGCTCCGAGGGGCAGCAGAGGTGAAGCACTGTGCCCAGGGCAGCCTCCGCGTCAGCAGCCTCGGCGGAAGCACAAGGGCAGCACTGAGGGGGATGTGAGCATAGTCTCTCTCCCAGTCTTGTGCATGTATTGTTTAGGACCAAGTATTTTTGCACATCTAGATGACTTTGTGTAGCATTTTCTGGTCTGGTGACCTAATGTGTTAACAAAGCTCAAGGAGACTGAATGATGGCCACATTCACCATCCAGGAACTCCTGCAAATTTCTGACTCTAGGCTCTGAGGAGTGCTGGGGGCAAAGAACTTCTTCCAAGAAGAGAAGAGCATGACCTCTCTTAAAAATCGGAACATTACTGACAAAGCCAAGCATCCTCTTTGATGTGTCTCTCCATCCTGGTGCCCAGCAGCTTCCTTAGAGGTAGTCACTGTTACAGACTGGAAGGATCTCCTTCCAGATGATCGCAGTATTTGCATGTTGATTCTTATCTGCTCATAAACTAGGAGATTTTGTGTGTGTTCAACAAAAATGATACTATAAATGGTCTGCATTCTTTCACTCAGTCCATGTTTCTGGAAGGCTTCCATGGTGGTTCACAGTGATCTCTAGACCTCTGAAGATCTCACACGTGGCATGCTGCATCTGTTTATCTACTATAGCAATTGTTGCCTCAATTCACCTGAACAAGAATCCCATTCTCCTGTAATGATTCTTAACATTTCACACTGGAGGGTACCAATGAAAAGATTCCTGTTCTTCTCTGAATAATGTGCTTTTGGGGGATCCTTTTACTACAAAATTACAGGGCAAGAGAGACTCTCTAAAGTCACTGAATCCAACCAGAGGTCCAGAGAAAACATAAAGCTCCCCTGGAAGCAGGGATATAAGGAAGAGTTCTGTATGAGATTAAAATTAAGGTATCAAATGCATTGCTGGATTTCTAATATATTTTGTGTAATTTAAAAGAACCACAAAGAAAATACATATATATGAAAAGATTGAGTGAGGAAGAAATCAAGACATGCCACCACAGAAAACACAATGAAACACAAAAGATAGCAAAAGATGAAAGGATGGGCAAAAAAGCTGTAAAACACACAGAAAAAAAATGAACAAAATGGCAAGAATAAGTCCTTCCATATCAGTAATAAAAAGGGCTTAACAACACAATTAAAAGGCATAGACCAACTGAATAAAAAAGGATCCACCTCTGTTTTAACCAGAAGCTCACTTTAGAGCTAAAGACACACCTGGTCATAAAAGTGAAAGGATTGGAAAAAATCAGTCCATGTAAATGGAAACTAAGGAGAATGGGGTGGCCATAGTTTTATCAGACAAAATAACCTCTAAGACAAAAGAAATTTATTAAAAATTATGTAATGATAATTCCCCAGAAGGCCAACAGTGTAAGTATGTATGTACCTAAAAGATCAGAGCTCCCAAATATGTGAAGTGAGCACTGACAGGCCAAAAGGGAGAAAGAACCAAGTATTAGTGGGGGACTTCAATACCTCACCTTCCATTATGAACTGAACCACCACACAAAAGATCAGTAAGGAAACAAAGCACTTGACATACACAGAAGAGTCTGCCCAACAACAGAAAATAAATTTAATACGCATGCAACCTCTCCCAAATAGAACACGTTAGATCGCAACAAATGTCTTAACACAATTAAGACCTAAATGAAAGTACCTTTACTTTAGAAATCAAGAGCAGAAGAAAAAGCTGACAAATAAGGTGGTATTAAACAACTTACTCTTAAATCACCAAAGGATCAAAAGAAAACAATCACAAGATAATTTAGAAAATACCTGAAGATAAATGAAAACACACCTTACCAAAATTTATGGGATACAGAAGAAGTACTATTAAGAGGGAAGTTTAAATGGTAAATGAAAACACACCTTACCAAAATTTATGGGATACAGAAGGAGTACTATTAAGAGGGAAGTTTAAATGGTAAATGCTTTACACTCAAAAAAATTTTAAATCACCTACTTCATTTTACACCTTAAGGAAGCAGAGTTAGAGCAAACTAATCCAAAATTAGGATATGGAAAGAAATAGTAAAGAACTAAGATAAATGAGATAGAGAATAGGGAAAAAACAAACAAAAAAACAGTAAAACCAAGAGCTGTTTTTTATCCCCCCAGATGACTAATAAAACTGACAAACCCTTAGCTACACTAAAAGAAAGCTTCAATAACTAAAATTAAGTATGAATTAAAGTGATAACATTGCATCTGATTTCACAGAAATAAGAAACTACTACAAACAAGGTATATTTCTACCGTAGAAATATACTAGTATATTTCTACCGTAGAAATATACAACATATCAAGACTAAATCATCAAGATTAGAAAAATCTGAACAGACTATAACAAACAAGGAGATTGCAACAGTAATGGAAAGACTTGCCCAAAAATAGCCCAAAATCAAATGACTAGAGTCTTTTATGGAACACTTACAGAATTAACACTGGTCCTCCTCAAACGCTTCCAAAGAACTGATGAGTGAAGAACACTTCCACATTCAAAGACACAGAAAGAAAACTACAATATCCCTGGTGAATACTGATGGAAAAATCCTCAACAAGATACAACAAGATACACAAAATTCAATAGCACAATAAAAGGACTATCCACTGTGTCCAAGTGGGATTTATATCTGGAAAGCAACGATGATTTGAGAGAAAAATCAATTGATTTTATACACCACATTAACAAAATGAAGGTCACAAATCAAATGATTATCTCAATTGATGCAGAAAAAGAATCCAATACCCTTTCATAATAAAAAACTCAACAAACTAAAAATAGAAGGCAATACCATAAGCATAATAAAAGCCGTATTTGAAAGGCCTATAAGCCAACATCATTCCCAGATGCAATGAAAGCCAGAAGACACTAGCATGAATAAAATATCAAGCAATCTAACATTCTATATCCAATGAAAACCTCAAAAAAATGAGAAAATTGATGTTTTCAGGCAAACAAGATTAGAATTTGTCACCAAAGAACCTGCAGGGTAAGAAACACTGGAAGTCACCATGACAACAAAATGAACTGACAGAAGCGGTAAACATTTTATAATACATATGTGTATCAAATCATCACATTGTACACCCTAAATTTATCCAATATTATATGTCAATTATATCTCAATAAAGCTGGGAGAAATAAATGCTGAAGGAAATTGTTTTGTAGGAAAAAAAAAAAAGAGGAAACAACTGCAGGAAGGATGAAGAGCAATGGGATAGGCAAATAAAAATGAATAATGATGTGCAAATCATCAATACCGTCTTGGTGTTCAGATGAAAATGAAAATGGTTATTACGAGGCATAAGGTAGACAGGAGACAAGTGAGGTTACAATGTTCTGATATAGTTATTAAAGGAGTTGTCAGTGTAGTGTTTTATGTTAGTTGTAAGTCAAAGGTGTGAGGTCTACTACAAGCCCCCAAAGAATAAAACAACTAAAAAACTAACAGATGCAAGGGACAAAATAAAATCACTTGATTATTGAAAAAATAAGAAAAGTGAGTAAAGAAACAAAGCAGGTAGGACAATGGAAAGCAAACAGAAGGTAAATGTAAGCTCCTATTTAGGGATGATTACAATTTTTTTGTTAGATTTATTTCCTTATGCATACAGAACTGAGGTACAGGCCAGAGGTACAGGGGCAATGACAGGATTCACCAGAGACGGAGTGGGGAGCAGAACAGGCAGATTGTCAAAGTACAATGCTGAGGGGAGCAGTGGGCGGGTCAGGAGAGGTCTGCCACGCCATGTGGATCTCCTCCTGGGCTGGGGATCGAATTGTGCTAAAGCAACTGCAGCCAGCTTCAGAGTGAAGCGTGTTAACCCGTTGTACTACGAGGGAGGGCCAGGGGTAATTACAATTTATGTGCTGGATTAAAAACTGATGAAATGACATTGTTACAGGTGGGTTCACATTGGGAAAATCTGTGTTGTACACTTTTTATACATATATAATACTTTGATAAAATAAAAGCGGCCATATTTTCACACTGGATTTTGAAAATCCATGTTATTTAAGAGATATTTAACTATAAAGTTACAGAAAAGTTTAGAAAAAAAAAGGATGAAAAAGAGGAACTATACATACAGGAAAACAGTATGACAATACTAGTATCAAACAAAAAAAAAACTTAAAACAGGAAACATTACTGGAGAGAGGATATTTCACAATAAGGAGCCAATCGCCAGGAAGATACAACTCAAATGATGTATCTACTGACAACTCCGAAATACAGAATGCAAGAAAAAAAACTCAAAAACCTGAAGAGCTTAAAAGGAAGGACAGCCAGGTAGCTACTTTTTCAAAGCCACCAGACACACACCAAATACACCAAGGTGGTATCTATGCAAAAAGGGGAAAGGGAGATCAGAGTGAAGATCACATGAGAAAGGGGCCGAGCAAAACCCAAAATGAGAGCAGCCTTGCCTTACGAGGTGGGCAAGCTTTCCCTGCAAAGCCAGCACAGTAAACATTTTAAGCTTTTGGGTTTTTTAAATATTTATTTAGGCATACAGAACTGGGGGACAGGGCAGAGGTGCAGGGGGTGGTGAGAGGTTTTAAGCTTTAAAAGCCAGGAGGCAAAAATCAAACAAGTGGTACCACTAAAGGATAACAGTCTTTCACATTTAAAACCATAAGAACCCCATTCCCAGCTCACAGGCTGCAGAAAGCCAGGCAGGCCCTTGTCATGACTGACAGTGGGCCACGCGTAAGGGGTGGGGTTCACCCAACTATCTGTGCCTAAAGCTTTCACTTTATGGTTGAAGAAAAAAGGCCAAAGAGGAGGAAGAGAGGGACGGAGAAAACCCATCTCCCGGGCCGGCCAGCAGGCCCAACTTCGGCTCCCTGCTCCCTCCACACCCTGCCTGCCCGCCAGGCCCCATGTTCTAGGGCAGCACACACACGTCTTGGGACCAACTTTCCCAAGAACTTCCTGCTTCATAGTGCAAATGCACCTTCCCACGGGCGATCTGCCTGGGATGTCTGACTCCCGGGCCTGGGTAGGGGCCCTGCCTTGGGAGAAGCTTGTAATAAACACAGGCGTCCGGGCCAGGGAAACCAGAGACCTGCCAAGACCTGCCGACCGGGCCCTTGGGCACGCGTGAGCAGCCTGTAAGTCTGTAAACAAAGCGGGAGCCAGGCACTGAGCGGAGCCTCCTGCTTGGGCTGTTCTTTGCCCACCACGCACTCAAACCTGCTTTCCTCCTTCCTACTGGACCCTGCATTAACTGACTCGATGGCTAAAAGTCTCGACCTTTTACCTCCCTTGCAGATGTGAGCCAGTGAGATGTGTAAGTGCAACCTGCAAGGGTGCGGGGCTTGCGGAGAGTGGTTTGAAGAGGCGCTTTGTGCCGAGGCCCACTTCTGTCTTGCACCTTCCTCCTCCCTGTTGCCTGAAGGAGGAGGTGATGGCTGGAACATGCGGACCAGCGGGAGGGCAGCAGCCCCTGGGGCGCCTGCCTCTAGGCTGCTTCTGTGTGAAAACCAAGTCAGCACTACCTCGCCCGAGGTACTGCTGGGAGGCTCCAGTGCTTAGCTGCAAGCCCAACCCCGAGATCCCATTTCGAACGCGATCTCCACCACTTGCCTTCAAAAAGTGGAATGGAATCGTTGGAAAAGGTGTCCAAGGCAAGGAGGTCTTTCCCGTCTTTGGACCCGCTGCGTTTGTGCTTGTGTTTCCTTCGAAAGAAGGATCTGCGTGCAGCCGCTGACAGTGTCTTTGCGGCACTGCTGTCGTCTTTGACCTCGGAGATGCTGAGCCTCCGGGTGAATTCTTGGTCCATCCTGTGGTCACAGGGGAAAGGCAGTGCTGGGAGGAGTTCCCGGGCCATCTCCCACCCAGCAAGGAGTGCACTGGGACCCTAGGCTCCTCCAACAGTCCTCTGCAGGTCTCCAGGCCGCTGCGCCCGCCCCCGGCACCAGGGACCTTGCTGTGGGGGGGAGCACTGGTGTGGGGGCAACAGGCATGTTGGTGCTGGGGGTGTGCTCTCTCAGAGCAGGCCAGGTTTCACGTGCAGAGGAGCGTCAGAAGGAACTGCCAAGGCAGTCTCGGGGTCATTTCAAGTTATGCTCCCCAACATGAAGATGAAGCTCTGATAGACGCTACAACATGAACAGAACTTGAAAATGGCATGCGATTCCATGCCAAGTTAAAAGAAAGAAAGAAACCCAGTCACAAAAGGCCACATACTGTGTATTTCCATCCATGCCAAAGCCCAGAACAGGGAAATTTACAGATACAGAAAAATTAGTGTCTGCCAGGATTGTGAGGTGGACAGGAAAGACAGAAGGACAGGGCGAGGAGGACAGCTAAAGGTGAAAAAAATGTTCTGAAACTGACTGTTGATGGCTGTACAAGTCGGCGAAAACCACGGAATTGAATGCTTTGGGTAAATTAGATGATGTGCGAGTTATAGCTCAGTAACTCTGTTAGGCAAGAGAGTTATGCCATCTAAGCTGCCATGCTTCCACTTAGCACTGGCTGACAATAAGAGCAGCTTTTCAGACAAGAGGTTTTTGCAAAACATACAGAGCAGAAGCTGAGATGAACAGCAGGGGAGTGTCTTCCAGAGCCAGGGAGCCCCGCCTGTATCCGGTGTGTGCCTCACTGCGCCTGTGGCCACTTACAAGTATTTGTTGGGGATCTGCCCACGCTGGATCTTCTGGGCATTCTCATCCAGCTGCCAAGCCATCCAGGACCCAAACGCTCCCTGGGGCAGGGTGTCATCCACGTAGAGGATGTCATCTTTCTTAAAGCTCAGCTCATGCTCCACATCTGCCAGCCGGTCGTACAGGGCCCTGGACCCGTGGCAGAGGGAAGAATGAACCAGGCAGTCCCAGGGGCTGCTACCCGCAAGCCACAGTCAGGACCCGCCTCTTCGCATCCTAGCACCTGGCAGTGGTCCCAAAGGAGGGAGGCTGGACTTTACACACCAGCACAAAGACTCTGTGCCTTTCCTCCCCTCAGCAGAGATTCCCTGGGCTCAGGAGCTCACTTGGCACACGAGGCAGCTTCTTGCCAAGGGCCAGGGGCACAGCTCCCCATCCGAGATGGGCGCCAGATGGGCCTTTCCAACTCTGCCCCTCCCCCAAATCTAGGCTAAGCATTCCTACAGGTCAGAACCTCCCCAGGGTGGAAACAAGCCACCCTCCACTAAGGAGGCCCCTAGAGACAGGGAACCATACCTCTCAGATCAGCGCTTTTAATTCCTCCCCTGGCCTCGGGTCTCATGGACAACGCAGGACACCAAGAACCTCTCCTAGGAAGCTCTGCCCCGCACAACTCGCACACTGTTTCAGGGCACTGGATGCCTTTACGGGCACACACGCCAGGAGGCAGGTGTGCAGCCCTGGGGCCAGGGAGAGCAGGAAGGGGAGCCAGCCCGCAGAAAAATGTGGCTCTGCGGCCGCAGAGCTCCCCAGGCCCCGGGCCCCAAAGAGTGCCCACATGGCCCTCAAGGGTCCTGTAAGTCTCAACCCTTTGGGGACGAGAAACACAGACTCACTGGGAGCAGTCTCCGGCCACGGCCCACCCCTGCCCCCGGTCACCGGAACCCCTGGCCACGGGCACCTGATGTAGAAGCTGTCGCCAGGCAGACCCTTGACCTTGGCGAACTCCTCGGGGCGGTGCTGCACCTTTAGGCGGATGTTGTCCTTGGGCTTCAGCAGCTCCACGTAGACCTCCTCCACCGTCTTGCTGCGCATATCCAGGCCGCCATACTGTCCAGGAACAGAAGAGTGAGGCCGGAGAGGCAGCAGCCAGGGCAACGGAGGCCCCAGAGAAGAGGAGACACCCAGCATGCCCTCCTCCGGGACGCGGCTGCTTCCCCTCCTCAGGCAGGCCTCGTCCTCTGCCGAGTGGCTGCTCTGCCCCGCACAGCTGCTCCCAGGAGAACCTGGGTTAGCCCTCAGCGAGCAGCGTGACTTCCAACATGGCAACTCGTCTGGCTATGCTCTGTGTGCGTTTCAGGACCTGCGGCCCTTCTCCTCCATCGAGCAGGAGACCTGCTGAGCGGGAACTGCCACTCTCCTTCGTCGCTGCACCTTCCCCCGCGGATGCCAGTGCCACGCCTGCCCCTGCCCACTGCCCGGCGATGCAGCCGGGGCACTGCGGCCGCATCCTGCCATCGGTAAGGATTGGAAGCAAACGTGAATGGCCGCCAGTGAGAGGCTGCGCCCGGGAGACGTGCGGGTGAAGGAAGGCCGGCTCCGCAGCTCCCAACTCACCTCAAGGATGAGGTCCCCTGGCACGAGGCCATCCGGGCCCTTGGCGGGACTGTCATCCTCCACCTCGGCGACAAACACCCCGTGCAGGTTCCCACCACATAAATGCACTCCCAGCTCCATCTGGGACTTCTTGATGAAGACGACTCGTGGCTCGGGGGTCTTCTTACCGGCATCTCCCAGCATCCTTTAGGGGAAAGAAAAGAAAGTCCCTCCATGACACCCGGGAGAAGGGCACAAGAAGGACAAGCGTGGCGAATGCCCTAACCGTTTTCAGCTTGCAGCACCAGTCTCCGAGGCCTCGGGGCCAGAGAGCGAGGGGTGCTCCGGTCACGGCTCTGGCGCGAGCCAGTGGGCGCGCAGGCCGAATACTGAAGCTCGGCGGGGGTGCAGGCGCGGCCTCAGCTCACAGTCGTTGGGAACACATTGGAAATCGACGTCCTGCTTTGTGACCAGCTGCAGTCGCAGGTCTTGGGCCACACCCCTCCCGCCGGGACCACACTTGTTTGTCTGCCCAGGAGGAGTTACAGCTTGTTTCTGCCCAGAGTTCTACGACCACTGCCGTTTCACTCGGTAGTTGTCTGCTGAGCAGCTCTGCGGCCCTGGGACTAGGCTAGCATGCAGAGCCAACCCCCGCTGGCCAGGAACTCAGGAGGTGGGGAAGCCCACAAACACACGGAGGGGAGCAGAAGGCCTGCAACAGGCTGGAGAAGGGGATCTCGGGAGACGCCAGTGCTGCAGGCAGGCTCCGGGGCACCGGCCCTCTGACGAAGGACACGGGGCTTGCTGCTCACTTCCGAGTGAGGCTGGGGCTCCCGGGGCCGGGGAACTGGCCCTGCCCGGGCAGTGGCCCCGGCCGAGTGTAGGCCGCTTCACGCCCCTGGCCCATGCAGCCCTTGAAGCTCCCTCGCGTGCCCGCCCGACCCAGACCGCACGAACGTGGCCTGTGCCTTGACTGCTCTCTGGGCCTACACTTGGCATGGCCACCCCGGGCTCCTCCGGAACACCTGACCCACCCCCTGGGTCTGCTGGGAAGTGGCCTGTCGTGAGCCTCCCAGCACCTGCCCGGGCTGCGCGTGCCAGGGCGCTGGTTTGTCACCCTCTAGGCCTAGAGCTCTTGGTGGGCGGTACTGCCACCGATGACAGTCCAGGGCCGGGCAGGACCGGGCAGGACTGTGGGACTGTGCGTAAAGACAGAGTCAGAACAAGTGAAAGAGGAGAAGGAATACAGGAAGAGCTAAAATGAATCAAAGGGACAGAAAAAGAGAAAGAGGAGGACAGAGAAAAAGAGAATGCCGTGCTTCCCACCCAAGTCCCGAGGGCCTGCCGCGTGGCCTGCAGCACAGACTGCCGCTGGCCGCCCTCGGGGGTGTAAGGTGGTCTGGGGCGCAGGTGTGAGTGGAGGGCTGGGCCCTTGCTGACCTGCAGCTGGCGGTGCTCTGCTTGGCTGGAGGGGTGCCCGGGCTCTCATCCTGCTCCATCAGCGGGTCGGTGACAGACAGGTGCTCCGGGGTCGTGGCACCGCTGCCCTGCAGGGTAGAGTGGGTGCCGGCAGGGTCCAGGTGGGAGCTGGGGGTGCAGGACAGGCAGAATAAGGAGCGGCATGGAGCCTTGGTCCCAGAGTCAGACCTCCTCAGGTGATGACTAGGCCTGGGCTGTTGTCAACAGACCCAGTCACACAACACTGCACTCAGAAAACAGGTCACTTGAAAGTGTGGCCTCTGCTTGCTTGTCAAAGGTTTTGGCCTACGCGCCATGGGGATTCACTGTCCCTTTTCCTTGGTTTGTACATCTCCCCTCACCTCCCCGTGCCCCTGCTTGGTAAGCCACACCTTACTGCCCTTCCTGTATCTGCCCTACCCCTTACTTAGCACAGAGGCAGACACTGGGGTGTGCCCGGTGTCTGCTGGTAGACTGGGGAGCCAGACTACCGTGTAAGCATCCTGCCCCCAGGACCTCAGCAACTGGGCACGCACGCCTGGGGCTCCCTGCTGCACAGAGGGCCCACCCACTTGTGTCCATCCAAACCCTATTCCAGGAAGAGCCATCCTCCATCTGTACACCCTTCCCCCAAACTCAGGGCTAGACAACACTTGTCTTATGGCAGCAAGACCCCCAGGATTTGCAGCTGCACCCAGGATCTCCCAGAGGCAAGTTGCACACCTGCCACATCCGTCTCCTTTCCCCCCATGGAGGCCCAGGCCTCACCTGGAGCGGGAGTGGCTGCTGAGCTGGTGCATGTGTGGGTTGTACTGGGCCAGGATGGTGATGGTGTCACACTGCTGCCCGATGATGAGCCGGGCCTGCTGCTCAGTAGCGCTCCGCAGGTTTATGCCATTGAACTAGGAAATACCCAAAGTGGGCTCAGTGCTGCGGTGGGGCTGGGGGCACGGGTGCACTGCTCTCAGTGACGGGAACAGGACAGGAGGGCAAGGACATGACAGGGCAGAAGGGAGCTCCCCTCACCTCAAGTAACTGGTCCCCATACTCCAGGCCGGCCTGGTGAGCAATGCTCCCCCCGGTCACCTTGGAGACATAGACACCGCCCTTCTCTCCACTCACGATGGAGATGCCCAGGGGCTCTGAGCCCTTCTGCAGCTTGACATGGCGCGGCTCCTCCATGTAGGGTCTGGAAAGAGAGACACGGTTTGCGGGGCCCAAAGGAAAGGTTTGGGAAACAGTATGAGGTCAGGCATTCAAAGTCATCGTCATGAATGATGTAAACTGGAAATGACTGACGTGGAGAGCCATAGCGGGCACACTGTGGCGGGAGAGACAAGCCAGCAATCCCGTCTACTGAATGCCAGATTCAGATTTACGTGCCTGTTCATCAGGAGGTTTCCGTGGGGGACCTTGGCGAAACAGTAGCGATGGCACCTCCAGCTAAGGGGATGGGGTGAGGTCACCCTTGCTTTCTAAGCACTTGAGCAGTCTAAATTTGTATAGTAACATCACTGAAGTTTCCTCAGAACAATGAGGATGCTTTGTGAAAGATGTTTATAAATTATACCTCATGTGGTTACTTAAAACAATGTTAAGAAGGAAATCATCATGGACTTAAAATAACAAAACATGCTCATCTAATTTCATGGATGGGGAACCAAGTAAGCGATCGAGAAAAACACTAACAGTTATAGTAAATCAGAAAGCAAAATTAACAGGCAACTACAGATCAGAGGCACTGTGTTGCAGCGGGCACCAGCACAAGCACAAGGCATCACCCACGGTGCACAGGTGAACCGGTGGTGGGAACTCTAGACTACAGCTGAGAGGAGGAAGGATACACTGTCCAAAAAAGGAAGAAGGACGTAAAATGAATTTAAAATAACAAAGGTACACATCTCAAGGTTAAAAGCCATGGAATCCCTGGCTAATGAGAAGATGTGACATTTTTTCTGCTATTCCAACTTTCCATATGAGCAATTACCTGGCAGTCTATCTTAGAATGCAGAAAAGAGAACTGTTTGCGGAACAAGCTCTTCTGCAGTCGTGCCCCACATTCTTTCTGTCTCCAACCAGAGGCCAGGCCCCCGTTGGGCAGGCGTCACCCCGTCCCCTCTCTCCTGGAGAGGTTCTGGTTCCCTGTCCAGGGAGCCAGGGGTGCGCCTGACCACTCACGACACACCCTGGCACTCCCAGGAGCTGCTTCACGTGGCAGGGGCCTGTTCTCGCAGGGACCCGGGCTGCAGTAGAGCGCGGCCATCCGCTGACCCGCCGCCACCGCGGGCCCTGCCCGGCTGCCCCTGAATGCACAGCAGGAAGGTCTCCCGACAACGGTCCCTGGCTCCAGGGACCGGCACCTCAGTGCCCAGGTGTCCCGTCTGCTGCAGGGCCCTTGTGGGGTCTCCGGTTAATGTCTGCAAGATTCGTCCTGCAAGTTTAGATCCAAGTCAAGTGAGATCTTCCTGTTGGCCGGCTCGTCAAGGCCTTCTGTGTCTCACAGCTCCGTGGACACTCACAGCTCTGATTTTGAGTGGACCAGAGTAGCTCTTCTCCTTTAAAGTGACTAAAGCAGGCAAGTTCAAGTCTAATTGGCATCCATGAAGCCCTGTGCTCTAGAATCTTCAATTTAAGTTTGATCTAGTAAATTCCACCTTGAAGAACGACAGAGGTGCACAAGGTGTGTACAGAGCTCGTGGGAGAGTGAAGGCCCCTGAGAGCAGGTGTGGCCGGGCAGACGCTATCCTTAGATTTCAGCAGAAACCAGCCTACATTTCAAAACGAAATGATAAACAGTGTACACCTGAGCTGTACGCTGATGCTTTACCTACTTGCTCTTCTACACATACTGTGTTTCACAACAAAAAACTTCTGGCGGAGGCCTAAGAAATGCAGCTGTGTTCTGAAGCCGAAAATAAAAGATGCGTCCAGATTCTGATCGAGGTCAATCTGTCGCAAACCACGTGACCACAGACAGATCACGCCAACTTTCTAGTCTCAGCTTCCTCATCTGTAAAATGGGGTCAGTGATGCCGCTGACGGTGTTGGTGCCGGTGACACGGCTGCCACGGACCCACAGGAGGCTTTCACGGACACCTGAAGGCTACAACTAGGCCCCGGGAAGCAGTGAATGGCGCGTACATCGCCGGCATCACTGTTGGGTCATCTTCGGCACCGGCGGCCACGACCTGCCCGTCCAACGGGCTTCCAGCCGCACCCCTGCTGCCCCCTCCTTACCTGGCCACCTGGCAGTGCCCCCCGCCTGCCCTGTGTGCCCACAGGACCAGTGGTGACATGCTAACTCTCAGGCAGGACACCAGTGTATTCTACATTCTGGTGACCCAGAGTAGAGGAACCGCTCCCTGACCGACTCCATGGGAACTCCACACCCCTGCTGCTCCAGCCCGCAAGCCCACCCCTCAACCAAGCCCCCCGGCGGCTGCCGGGCGTGCAGCCCGCCAGCCTGCCCACGGCACCAGTGCCACGTCACACTCACCTGTCCTTTCGCCGCTCCCCAAGGGACGCCGGGTTGACGGCAATTCTGGGCAAGGTAGAGGCTGAGGTCTGAGGCTGGCTACAAGAGGACAGGGTGTCGAGGTTCAAAGGTGACTGCGGAGGGGTGCTGCACTCAGAATGCGACAGCGAACCTGCGGGCGAGGCACGGGGTCACTCGGGCCGCTCGGCTCTTGGCTGTCAGGACCACAAGGACGACCGTCCCGGCATGTGGCTGTAGGCCACGCCATGCCGCGGGGCCCGAGTCCAGGTCTGGGGCTCTGCACTGCGCGGCCTCTCTCTACCCACGTCACCAGGCCTGAGGCCGGCCCAGTGCGTGCTGACCGCCGAGGAGACGAGGAAGCTGCCCCGGGGGCCCTGACGCCCCACTGTGAGGAGAGAGGCGACAGCGGCGGGGAGGGCGGGGGGTGCCAAGCCCTCACCTCTGTCAGAGCCCACGACAGACCGGGGGTATCTCGGCGTCGACGGGATCTTAATGCGCTCAGTCTTGAACTGCAAGTTGCTCGAAGACCCTGTCACGGCAGAAAGAGACCAAACGCTAGCGTGGACGGCACACCACCCCCTCGCTCCTCACCACCACCTCCGAGCGGCAGCACAGACACAGCTGTTGGCCACAAAATGCAAAGCGGGGGGGGGGGGGGGGGCTGCCCAAGGACCCCCTCACCAGGAGCCTGCTTTAGGAAAGCAGGCATCTGAATAAACTATGCAGGCCTCAACTGCTCCAGCCGGGGCCACACAGGTCACCAGGCCCCAGGAACAGTGGTCTGGTGACAGAGGTGACTGCTCGCTTGCCCCCACACGTGAAGCAGCTCCTGGCCTGTGTGGTGATCAGCAGACTTGACTCTGGCCTGCAGTTCCCCTGGCTAAGGATGAAGAACAGGGCCACTGCGCCTAAGGCTCATATCAACAACCCAGGAACGCTAAGGCTGCAAAGGGGCACAAAGGCCACAGGAAATGTCTCCCTGGTGTGGTGTGGAGCCGACCCCCAACCAGGCAGGGCTGGGGTCCCTTGGAATAGGCGGCTGGGAGGGCTGGGTGGGTGGGCGGCCGCTGGCTGGTCCCCCTCTATGACAGGAAGGTGCTCGCGGCACAGTTACCAAGGCGGGCGCTGGAGGGCAATGAGTTGGACCCGTGGGAGGCTCTCATCTCGGAGTAGTCACTGCAGGCCCTGTTGCTCAGGTCCAGGCTCCGACGTCCCTGGTGCTGGACGCTGCGGGAAAACCAAACAGGGAGGCGCTCAGGACAGGGAGGCGCTCCTAGGGTGCGGGGACAGCCCTGGTGCCCGACCAAGGCCTCTCAGAGCCGTGTGCTGAAACCGTCTCCTGCTGGCTTCAGGATGTGCCTGCGACCTGCGAGATTCTCGGTGCTTCCCAAACCTCACCCACCCACCCCCATCCCGCTCTAGAGCCACTGCACCATTCCCAGTCCTGAGCTACAGGTTGCCGTGTGCAGTCTAAGATGTTTACTAAGGTCTCAGCACAGCACAGCACAACGCTGCTCTACCCAGCCCTCCCAGCGAGGCAAGGAAACTTCTCTGTCCGGTGCTGCAGCACCCTGCCCTGCTGCCAGAGGCCCAGGCGGGGCTGGTGCCCAAGCGGGGCTGGTGCCACTGGCCTCTACTCATCTCCTGGTCACCGCGGCAAGCCCCCACCCCGGGGCCCACCCTCCCGCCCGCCCTCTTCAAGTCACAGCCTGGTTTGTCGCCCGGTTTGATAGTCTTCAGAGTCACCGGGCACCAGCTAGCATCACATGTCTCTTCCCGTCTGCCTCCCAGACTTGGAAGGCCACATAACAGAAAGCTTGTCTTTGCAGTTTGCCACGATATTCCTCCCTCACCCCAGAACTAAGAGTCGCACAGCACACGGTGGGCACTCGATAAAAGCTAGTGAAGTAACCAGAGGAGAGCGAATCACATTTACCCAAATCCTCCAGCTCACTTCTGACGCCCATTTCTAAGCCAGCAACAGGAGAGTCCCGAGCTAGAGGTTGCCGTGTGGAATCTAAGATGTCTATCAAGGTCTCAGCACAGCGCAGCTCCACCCAGCCCTCCTAGCGAGGCAAGGAAACTTCTCCACCCATAAGCCTCTTCACGAACCAGGGGCCTCATGTCCAGGTGGGACACAGGGAGGGGCGGGAGGGGGGCTCACATACCTGGGGTGCAAACCCTGGGGGCCGCCCTCTCTGGGGATGGGTGGAGAGTTGCAGGGGCCGACCCTGTGGCTACGCACGGTGTAGATGGGGTTCCTCAGAATGGAGCTCACGGTGGTGCTGGGGGTCATATTCCGGGGAACGGTACCTAAAAATGGACTGGGTGAGAACAGTTTCCCCAAAGCACCCGGAGCCTGTGCAAGCCCTGTTCCAGTATCCCAGAGAAGCATCCGTGGATTCTTTTGGGAAAAGAACTCAGATGATTAGACTTCTACCCACCAGTGTGCTGCTGGCCTTTCTCTAGCTGTAAAGTGGGAGAACGCTCTCTCTTTTTTGATTTTTTTTTAAAGATTTATTTATTTATTCATACAAACTGTGGCTTCAATGTGTCTTATTTCCCAGGATGCTCTGGGAGAAAAAATGCTCTGAAAAGTTAAGAAATGTCACTGATGCAAGCCTCAGCATCCTCGACAGGGCAGCAACTGCAGGTTGTGTGGACTCTGGGGTGAGGACACACCCCAGCGCTGCTCCCTGAAATGACAGCTCGACCCTCACCGGCTGGGCCTAGCAGCCCCGAGCCCACCCAACCGTCCTTCCCAACCCCACCCTGCCAACTTACCCACAGATGCCCTGCTGGGGTAGAGTGGGGGGTTGCTGTGCCGGCCAGAATGCCCTGGCGAGTACGGGGACCACTCCTGGAGTTCCAGGGAGAATTCTCCACTGCCCGGGACGTACTTCTGCTCCTACACAGCGAAGGCGAGAGACACTGAGAGGGTGGACACAGGAGCCGCACAGACCTCAACACGTGGACTCTGTCCCTTGTACACTAACTCCTCTCACTTGGACAAACGAAGCCGGGTCAGGAGGGGTCACTGCTCTTTCACGTTGCCTTACACACCTACAAGGGCAGAGCATCCTTCAAAGACACTATGGAAGAAAAGCATGGAGAAGGAATCTTTCCAGCACACGAACAGTGTGCGTGTAAGGTGGAAGGCGTGCATACCAGGCACACACGTGTAGCCACTCCCCCCACTCGCACGGCTGCGTACGCTCTTGGTCTGCGGTGAGTGACAGGACTTGTCCTCTGCACGCAGCCTCCTCTCCCTTCTGGAAACAGCTACGGCACACTCAAAAACGAGCCAGCTGTTGTGCTGCAGGCTAACAAGCGCACGCCTGCTGGCTTACCTCCCTGACCTCTCCTGGCAGGTCCATGTCACCTGGTTTTGTTTCGTGGTTTCAAAAACCTTGCTTCATAAGCAAATTAGTTGCCATACTCAAGAAAGCTGTCCCCCGAGCCCCACCCCACCACACCGCCCCCTCCTGGCGCCACACTCCCAAGGATGTGCACACCCCGTATTACTGCCCAGGCGCCTGGGGGGCGCTGCTTCCCACTGGCATCGTCGACCTTTGTCTGGGTGGGTGTCAAGCGCAAAGGCAAAGGAGCTGGTGCTGAGCAGGATTTGGGGCCCAGTGCTGGGCCTCTCCACGGCACGCTCGCTGCTCCCACCTTCCTCCCCGCCTCCAACCGCCCACCCGGGGGGCTGAGCTCTACCTCTAGGAACTGAGTCGGAATCACTACTGGCGCGAGCTTGGGCCGGAAACTGGGAGCAGACTTGGGCCGGCGGCGCTTCTGGCCCAGCTCGTCCATCTTCTGGGAGGTGAGGTCCTCATCACAGGATTTCTTGGCCGGCAGGTAGGAGGAGTCCCCATCCCCTTCAGGGTAGTAGCTGGAAGCAATGCGGACCCTGGCCTTGCGAGGGGGTGAGGCGTGCATGGGCTCCTCGGGGCTCACGTCAGGGGGCAGGGCACTGGGGGGGCTGGTGGATGGGGAGCTGCCCACCAGAGTGGCCTCTGACTCCGAGCTGGTCTCCAGCCGGTGCTGAAACTTTATGGAGTCGCTCCTCCTGGGAGGTTTTGGGGGGGTCTGAGGCCCCACCCTCTTGGAGGGCTGGGGGGAGTGAGCAGGTCCATGCGCTGGGAGCAGATAGTCTATTTTGGGGGGTGTCTGAGGACGTTTGAAAGTATTAGGGTCAAAGATAGACTTTCTCTGCTTTGGCTTCTTATAGACAGAGAGCTTCTCGGGCCCCGCCGTGGAGCTAAGCACGGCCTTGGGCCAGGTCCCTCCGCTGTTGGAGCTCTCGGGCTCGGCCTTCTCCAGGGGGGCCTCTGCTGCCCCACAGGGTCCCGCCTCAGTCTCAAAGGGCAGCAGTGGCCGTCGGCTGCGCACCTCCACCAGCCCGTAGGCACGCTCGCCCGAGGTGTCCGAGCGGAAGGAGCTTAGGCTGCGCTCTGAGGCACTAGGACAGGCCTGTGGGGAGACCTGGAAGGACCCCCCCGGGAATGGTTTGTGCAGGAACGAGCTGCTGCCCCCTGGGGGGCCTGGCTCTTTCCTGTCCTCCGGCCTGTCCGCGTAGAAGATGTCCGTCTGTGTGGAGTTATTGTGTTGCATCAAGTGCCGCTTGCTCTGAGACTGGACTTCTGGAGCATGGGCTCGGAAACTCAACATCTTATCAGAGTCCTTGATATTTTCAAAGATGTTCTGCCCACTCCACGAGGAGCTCTGGGGGAAGACCTGAGCAGCGTTGCAGAGGAGCGAGAAAGCAAGAGGGTGAGGGCTCGGGACTGCCACCGAAAATACCCTGCAGGCAAGCGGCCACACTCTCTCAGTGCACACACGGGCACGTGCAGGCACACCCGCCCGCCTCCTTGATGGGTGACGCTTTCCCAGCGGCCCCGCCGCTCCAGGGAAGCCCCAGGGAGCCATAAAGCTCTCCCGACTTGGAGGACTTTCTGACGCTCCCAGTACAATGCCCTGCATATATGTATTTTAGTGACTAAACATAAAAGTGAAAAATTCAGTATTACATATATATATCTTGTGGCACACCCATGTAATGCGACATTATTCAGGACTAGAAAGAAATGAGCTACCACGTCGGGAAGAGGCACGGCAGATGCTGAAATGAAAGAAGTCCATCTGAAAAGGTCATTTACATTACGGCATGATTCCAACTGGGCAACGTTCTGCGAAACTACAGAGACAGTAAAGGGACCAGGAGTTGCCAAAGACAGGGACGAGAGAAGGAAGGGTCAACGGGTGACATAAGATTTCCAGGGCTGCGACACCACCCTTTGTACGATAATGGATGCAAGTCCTACGTCGTGGGCCCAAAGCCACAGAATTCACCAGGAGTGAGACCTCACGTAAACTATGGATTTTAGTTCATTGTAATGAGCCATATGGTCTATCAATTGCAGCAAATGCACCCCACTTGGAAGAGGCTAACATTGAGGAGAGGGGGTGGTATGAGACTTCTCTGTACCAGTTTGATTTTTCTGTAAACCTAAAATTGCTTGCCTCAAAAGTCTATTAGCTTAAACATAATCAAGTTTTCAGAACATCTCTTCATCGCATAAATGGGCCTATTTTTTTGTTCCATCACAAATCTTTCAGCCTTGTATAAAAGTTGACGCAAAAGTACAACTGTCCATAAACCTGACATTCAGACTCATTGGTATTTTACCAAACTGTCTACATTTCCCTAATTACAGAAGATTTGAAAAAAAGTTAACAAATACTCTGAGCCCCACCAACTTCAACATGTGTTTCTCCCAAAGAAGCCCATTCTCCCCCTATAACACCAAAACCATCATTACACCCAACAAAGTGAACCGTTTCCTTAAGATCTGCCCGTTGTCCAGTCCAGATAGATGGACACTTAACTATCCCCAGAATGTCTTTGATAGCCGGTTCCTGGTTTGGTTTTTGAACTGGATCCAGTGCATGCCCTGCACTTTGTAAATCAACACCATTTCCCCACAGAACTCCAGCAGCCCAGGTACAGGAAACTGAGGCTGTGCAGCCCACAGGGAAGGCACAGCGGATGCTGACTGGGGGGGGCCTTACCTTCAGGAGGGAGAGAGTCAGGGAGTCCTGGCAACTTCGCAGCAGAGATTCACACTCGTTCAGCGACTTGTTGTCCAGGGCTATCCCGTTAATCTAGGGTCGAACAGAGAGCCTGTCAGACCCACTGCTAGCCCTCGCTAAACTGAGGGCCTGGGTCTGTAAGTGCCCTTGGCCAGCGTGGGCACGATAAGGCCTTTTCCCCAAAAGGCCCAAGGAGTCCAGTTAAGTGGTTCCTGAGGCAAAGGTACAGCACACAGCCTTCAATCAACCTGGGACCGGAACACCCAGGGCCCCAGGGAAACGGCCCGCATCGCCGGTGCCTGTGGCGTGATGCTGGGCCATGACTCAGGACTCCACGCACAAGTGGGAGAGGGGCCTTTCTACTCCGGGGGACGAGAGACTGAGCGAGGTCACGGCGTGAAAGGCCTGTGCAAAGCGGATGCTGTCGCTGCTCACAAAGATTCTCATCACCCCGTACATCCGAATTTCTGCACACATCTCTCTCGGATATGTTCCAAATTTCACAAAGGTGCATGGGCAGCAGGTGCTGGCTTGACAGGGCTGCAGCCACACCGCGACTGCTCACTACCCAGCCACAAGAAGGAGCGTAGTGTCACTGCCCCAGACCTGGGACGGGGCTCTCAGCACACCTGGGTGAGAAAGCCAATCCTGTCGGGTGACGCGTTGCCCAACGTCTACTTACACAGCAGTCTTAAAGTGGTAAATCTGTGGCGCTGGAGAACAAATGAGTTGGCAGGGGTTTTGTGTGTGTGTGTGTGTGTGTGTGTGTGTGTGTGTGTGTGTGTACGCGCCAGTTGTGAACGCTACTATAACGGGTGACAGGAGGGAGAGCGATGCCGTGGTGGGACAGTCTGTGCCTTGACTTAGGTGGTGACGTGACAGAATGACTAGGAACCAAGGCGCACACATGGTGCCTCCATGTCCTCGGCCTGGTTTTGAAATACAAGATGTAACCAGTAGGGGGAGCCAACAGGCCCTTGAACTATCTTCAGCCTTTTCTATTTTTTTAATGCTCTTTTAAATTTAATGTGACTGAACGAGCTCTGTAATCATTTCAAAATGAAAAGTCAAAAAAAGCATGTAAACCAGACTGATTATTTGGAAAGACAGACTGATTATTTCTTTACAACTTTTCCACATCTTGAAATTTTTCACAATGGCCATGTTATTTCTAAATTCTAGCACCAGCCCTCACCCCTCCCCCACAAATCGCTCCCACACCCACTGCAAGAGGGATGGAAAAGGCAACTTCTTTGGGACACAATGCAGATCACAGGGAATGAAAATGTTCCAGCCAAGTCCCCCAGGCTAGGCGTTCACCCCAGAGGGATGTCCCTCCCTGCAGGGACAGCCCAGTGGCCACAAGCACTGCCCATGCAGGCAGAGACGGCTGCCTGAGCACCAGGGCTCCACTTCACAGCTTGTGCTGTAGCACCAAGGAGCATGCGGTCACTGAAAAGACAGGCAGATCTCAAGGAAGAACCTCCACATAACAGGGCAGGCTGTTAGACAAAGAGCAGGGTTAGCAGCTGAGGACACTGTGATCCTATCTGGGTTGTAAAAAGTGGGAGCTACACACACTTGAACATTTCTGGAAGAAAACACCATAAGTAATGGACAAAGGCTGTCATCAGGATGGACACTAGAAGAGCAGGGTTGGGACCAGAGGAAGCGTTATCGTCACCACGTATGGCTTCTGTGCAAGTGGAACTTTGTGAGTTTTTAGAGCGTATGACACCTTTCATTTTCAAAACTTCATGGACGTGTTAAAGGCGCATGCCCTGCACCGCCAACCAACCTCAAAGCTTCGCTGCTGGGTTTAATCACGAAGGGATTGAAGGAAGCGCAAGATTTCCCCGGTTAGCTGTGCCCAAAGGTGAAGGTCACCGCAGGGCGGTTCACAAATGCAGAAACTGCAACTTGTGTGCTCGGCACCAGACACAAGATTTAAATTCTATGTAATCAAACCACTCGACCAGGTGGGTAAAGTTAAGGGGGGGAGGTGTCGATTTGGGGAGAGAGCACGTCACAGAAGGCAAACTGTAGAGGTAAGACAGGATGATTCCATCACTGTATTTTAAAAAGCAGACAAAACCCAGCTGAGTCAGAGTAGGGACAGCCGTGTGAGCACTCAGGGCCTGGTCGGGCGGGGCTCATGTCCCAAACGGGCAGATGACCTCCGGGAGCAGGACTGCTTAAGTGTTGCATACATTCTAACTCTGATCATGAAAACCATTTTAATAAGCGGACACAATCTTTTGTAAGAAATTTTCAAAATGCACAAATATCAACTTAAAAAAAATTAGCCAAAATATACTTTCACATGTAAAAGAAGGGCTATAGAGAAATACAAGAACTATTAACAACGGTTATCAATAGCCAGTAGCCATACAAGGGAGTTCGGTTTCCTGCCTAAACTATTTCCTGATTTTCTAAAGTGAGTACAAACATACCACTAAGGGGGAAAATTCACACCTAATTGTGCACCAGGAATAATGCCCAAGGGTAAGGTGACTGCATTGCTGTCATTACTTCTTGTTCAGACCCAGAAGTGACCTGCCTACAGGACAGAGGGCCCCGGCTCCACCCTGGAGACTCACCGCGACAATCCTGTCTCCCACGGCGAGGGAGCCCTCTTTGGCGGCAGGACTTCCGGGCACCACGGCGGCCGCGTATACTCCATTCTCCAGACTGATGCCGCTGTCTGCGAACACAGGGCAGACCACAGGTGGTCCTGGTGACCTCCCCCCGCCCCCGGGCCAGGCGTGGGGCCCGTGGGCATCCACCTCCACCTTGTGAAATTACAGAAGGGGATGCTGGTGGGCCTCGGCCTGCCCATCCCAGCACCCACCCGGCTCAGGCCACCCAGGGCCAAGGTCACGTCTGGTGAATCAAATACGCACGCCAAGGCAAGCCAAGACCCACAGGCAGCGCAGAAATGGTACCCACACCTCACCCTTGGGGACGAGGCAGCCTGAAACACACATCCATCTCCCTGGCACTACACAGGGGCACTCTGCCCACTTCTGCAGCCGCTACCTTTCTGTCCACTCAGGTTGATGTGCAGCGGCGTGACCACCTTCCCGCCCAGTGACTTCCTCCTCCGCACGACCATGTTGATGGCCCCCTCCCCGGTGAGGAGGGCCCTGAGGGCCTGCTTCTTGTCCTTGTTGATGAGGTCCACGTCGTTGATTCTCAGCAGCCAGTCATTGACCCTGAGGAGAGGCACGAGCTCGGTGTCCACGCAGGCCCTGGGACCAGCAGGCCGGCCCCTGCCACTGCTGGGAGGGAGGCCCAACAGAAAGCACAGCAGGCATGCACACAAGCACACAGGCCTCCTCTAGGAGGGGAGCAGGTGAACTAGCTGGGGCTGGCCCGAGATCACCTGGGTTCAGATCCTGGGTCTAGCCCTTAGCAGGTGGGCGACCTCACTCCTGTGCCTCAAGAGTCCTCCAATGTCAAAGAGGGGCAGTAACAGCACACACCTCACAAGATTACAAAGATTAATGGATTAATTGCCTAAGGTGCTAGATCAGACCCTGGCAAACAGCTCTACGAAGCTGTTCGTTACTATATTACCATTATTCCTTTACAGAATGAGCACGCAACGATTGTCCTAGGTTCTCACATATACCTCCTGGGTCTCTCCTACCCAGAGAGTCTGGGTGACTAGGAAAAAACCAGACTGAGAGGCGGATGCAGCAGTCAATCCTGCAGGTCGCAGACAGAGTCTCTGGGACCCTCAGATGCCAGGAGACATTCTCTTAACTGCCACCTGGCTCTCCGGGCCCCACATTCCTGCCAGATCCCGAGTCTCCTCCGCTCTTACCGTAAGCGGCCATCCGCAATGCTTCCCTTGTCCACTTTAGTGACAAAGATGCCGCAGTCCCCTGGCAAACAAGGCTCGTTCACACCTTCCGCCATATCAAACCCAAGTGCCTTCAAGTCAATATCCTCCTGTCAAAACAGCAGCAGCAACAGCGCATTTGACAAAGCCGAGCGGAGAAGAATTTGGCTCTCAGACCTTAGGCCGCTCACTGCAACACGGTGGAGAATGCCCTTCATGGCATGCGACGGGGCACCGAGTCCCCAGCATAAAACTGCCATCTTCGGGCCCCACTTCCCCTGGCCCCCCCACCGCCACTACCACTGCTGACACAGTCCCACCAGCTGAATCACCGCCTGGCACCCTGCTCCTGTCCACCACCAGGTGGGGCCGAGGGGACCGACCTGCCACAGCTCAGCCCTGGCAAGCAGGGAAAGGAAAAGCTGTGCCGCCAACGGGCAGCCTCGATCGTGGGAGCACTGCAGAGAGCATCCTCTCCCCACAGTCAGTCTTCCCGTTGACAGGAGCAGAGGAGAAGCCACGGCGCCAGCTCACCGTCTCCCGTTCAAACTCGACCACCTCCGTTTCCCACTCCATGGAATCCGTGTCAATGGCCGAGTCGTGGGAGCTGTGGGCCATCAGCTGCCGGAAGCGGGCCTCCTTTTCCAAGTGGGATTCCATCTGCTCTCTGTGGGCAGAAAGAGCGTCACGGCAACGGCCCTCTGCGAGGGAGACGACGTCCCACCCAAGTCACGGCTTGGCCCACCCATGGACGCTGACTGGGGCTTCTTGCCCTGAATACTTGGTACCGGTCTCCCGGTACCTACAAAGGGTCAGGCCGAGGACTCGGGAGTGCTAGTGGGCACCTTATAGTGTGTGATTTTTTTAAAAGGACTCAGAAAATTTCCCCACGTTTATCTAGGGGATTAATGCAATTCTGACAGGCATGTCGGCAAGATTTGTATAGACACAGAACTATCCTAAAGTTTATGTGGAAAGGCAAGAGAATGAGAATGGCTGAAACAGTTTTCAAAATGACTAATGTAGAAGAATCACTCTATTTTAAAGACATTCTATGGCTACAGTAATCAAGACTGGCTGGAATTGTTAGGAAGATGGACTCACAGATCAAGGGAACTGGCCCAGAATCGGCCCCTCAAGAACAAAAGTTGCAACAAGACAGTCTCCACAGTGATGGAGCAACTGGACAGCCACATCAAACAATGAACCTTGGCCTTATCATTTTATACCTTACATAAAAATTAATCCAGAACGTATCACAGATGTAAAAGCAAAGCATAAAATCATTGAACTTTTAGGACGCAAATGGAGAAAATCTTTGCGATGTAGGGCTAAGTTAAGGGTTCTTAGATACAACACAATCAACTAAACGCGCAAAAAATTAAAATTTAATCTGATTAAAGTAAAACACTTTAGCTCTCAGCGAGATACCATTATGTGGATGAAGAAAGACTGAAACCCTGTAACGCACCCAGTGACTTCACACTCTTCTTCTCAAACCTGGGCCCAGATATTTATAACTCCCGGGCGCTGCCCACTAGGCTCCCGGCATACACTGACTGACCTTTGCTTCCTGCTCGAGAGGACACCTCCCGGGTCCACCCCATTGCAAAGCACTACTCGGCCTCCAGGACAGAGCTCCACCCAACCCCGCCCGGGACACGGCCCGAGCCCCACGCACCCTGAAGCTCTGCCCTTACCTTCACTGCACTGTCATCTCTCTCCCACAGGACATGCCTGGTCCTTCTGGGGGCTCCCTCACCAGCATCCCACTCATCACAGAAGTTAGCAGTGAGTGGGTGCAAGCACAAACGTGCTGAATAAACCAATGGAACGTGACCTTTCTTGGAATTTCCAGCCAACTCCTCAATTAAAATGTAATTTTAATTACATATTATAATTATAGTTGCCCCCCCATACTGAAGCCCCCACGATCCAGATTTCCCCTTACTTTGATTCTACTACTTGCTAGACCGACCCAAGGTGGGACCTTGGAGGGAGTCTGTCGCTTTGCTTCTGAACCACCAAGATTTTCTTTAGAGCGTTCAAGCCCCAGAGATACTGGTTTTTGTTTTGTTTTGATTTGTTTTTTCAGAAAGGGAGCCACACGTCTTAGGTGAGAGGTTCTGAACAGGAAGGAAGGAAGGGGAAGCACTCTGTGCGTCACTCAAATGTGCAAGGCTTGCACACTCCTCAGCGTGCCCTTCCTGCTGCCCCCTCACCCCTCCACCTGCTTCGGAAGTTTCAGTGAAGGTAGAGAGCGACTGCCTCTAAGCTGGTTCTAGAGCACGAGTACAGCCGACGGCATTGCCAATTTCCTCCTAAACGTTGATCTTTGCATTTTCAATCCACCACCAACGGCTGCCAGATCTTAAATGGTGCGCTGTAACCAAGGGGAATTTGCCTGACACCCCAAACCTCCTCTTGCAAGCAACACCAACGGAACAGGCTACCGAGCGGAGGTCGCCAGCACCTTCAACGTGCCAGCTGACAATCTGCCATCATTCGGGTTGTGCGCGTGCTTGTCTCTCTGGGGGAGCTACCCTCGAGGGTCTCCTGTGTATTGTCTGGGTCTGCCTGTCCAGGGGCGTCCCCAGTCCTCTCACAGAGGCCCTGGCAGAACAAGGCCTTGCTAAATCCCTGTTGGTGAAAGAAGGAACGGATGGATGCAGGAGAAAGGGAGGGAATGAGCGACCGAATGGATGGACAATACATGCTGCCTGCCCCGGAATGGACCACTGGCAACAGGGTCCTTCCTGCTTGAGCGCTTTTGCACACGGGTCTGCTCGCCTCCACGTGTTCGCTAAAGGGCCGCTGAGAGCGTCTGGTCTGGCTTAAAATTTCTAAGGAACTCAAAGGGAGGCCTCTGAGCCCATTCGGCATTGACAGAGGAATGCAGAATGCAGGCGCCATGGCCAGGCCCGCACATGGGACCGCTTCTCACAGGACAGAGGGGGGGGGGCACTCCCAGGCGTGCCCACCCAGCATACTTGAGCTCCTTGAGCTCCCGGCCGACGTCGTTCTTCTGTTTCCGAGTGTCGTCCAGGCTGCGCAGGGCCTCGGCCAGCTCGCTCACAGCCCGGTCGCGCTCACGCCTCAGGTTGTCACACAGCGTCCTGGTGGAGGCAAGGGTAAGTCTTCGTGAGCGGTGGAGGAGGACGGAGGACCTACCGCCTCCCCATACCAAACGCCCCAGGTATCTGCCACGCACCCGGACACCCAGGAATACTTGAGAATCTGTGGTAAGACCATCCAGGCCAACCTCATCTCCAGACAGAGAGAATCACGAGGACCCACGGAAGGAAGCGGACCCCTCCGTGGGGACGGGGAAGTGAGCACCAGATTCCGCGTGTGGGGTTACCCCCCAACCTGTCGACCCACGCACTCCTACGTAAACTCCCAACAGCCAGCTGGCTGGGTGACAGGTTGCCTCTCCAGTACAGTCACTGCGTCCGCCATGCCGACCTCCACACGTGTGCGAGCCTTCTGGAGCTACACCCTACCCGCAGCTGGACTGAATCCCATCGCACCCACACGCGGGCAGTAATCATGCCTCACACATCCCTGCAGCCCAGGGCTCTGCGTGAGCATCAAGCAGCAGCTTCACAGCTCCGCTAAGGGCACGTGGCATCTGGGACCCCCGGCCCAGCTCAGCCCTGAGAAGAGAGGTGGGCCGGCTGAGCTGGCAGCACAGCGCTGTGCTGTGCCCTCTCCAGAGCTGTGTGATGCTACTGGAGGACACCACGGGCTGTCTCCACCTCCCCATGATCCCAAAGCCTCCCCCACACCCAGACCAGAGTCCAGCTCAGGTCCACGCTACGGAGAAACACGCACAGAGGGTCAAGAGAGCACCCACAGAGACTCCCCTCCACCAGGGCCTCCTGGCCAAGTTCATCCAACGAAAGGCCTCCCTTCCCCTGCACTGACCCCTAGCTGCAGGCCATCAGCAGTCTCCCCACGCCAAGGCGGGCTGTCCCTCATCTCCCGTCTCCCAACCAGCTCTGTGGAGACCAGTCCCTCCTCCAAAGGGCTGGGGTGGTGGGGAGGGGGGGAGGTGATGGGCGGGGGACAGTTCAGAAATGTTCAGTGACTAAGTCTTACTAGCCATCATCGCGGCCTCTCCTGGCTCTTCCCCACCCAAGGATCAGGTCTCTCCCTCCAGCTTCCCTGTTGCTGTCCACCTGCCCTCAGAAGTCTTGACCCCTCCGTGATGCCCAAGTGCCCCGCCCTCGGCACACCCCCACCTGCGCTCACGATGCTCCCTGGGACCGCAGTGCCTGTGGGCCGTCTCCCTCTGCCAAATCCCACGAGTGCTTTAAGACCTAGCTCAAGTGTTGTACCTTCAAGGGAGACCACCCCACCTGTCTCCCCGGGTGCCCTGCACGGCCGCCACACAGATCTGACAATGTCCTTGGGCTCAATGACCATGAATCTTCTTCCCCGCCTGGCCCGTAGGATGAAGCTGCCTCCCAGGTACCACACATGCCTATGAGCCTCAGAGGCTGTTTCTTTCCTAGAGCCTCCTTGCTCGAGGGGTCTGAGATGCCGACACAGAGCAGGCGCCAAAGAATCTGGCAGAAGCAATGCATTTCTGCGATGGCTGTTTTATGGGAGGTCACAAAAGAAAATGCCACTTCACCGTGGACTCACGTAACAGACTTACAAGCCCAGATGACCTGAAACAGGAAGCGGAGACCTCCTGGAGAATTCTAAGGTGATGAGGCGAGGCTATAAAGCTCACCCCCACCTTATGTGGGCACGTGGCAAGTGATTCTGAGCCTCCACAGACCCAGTGCATGGTGGGGTGCCCGCGACAGACAGCGCTGGGCCCGGGCACTGCGTACCGGATGCTGTCCCGTTCCGCTACGATTTTATCCCGTTCCTGGAACGCCCAGTCCCGCCGGCACTTGGCCACGTCCGCCTCCTGGAGGGCTTCCTTCAGCTCCTGGCACAGAGTCTTGCACTGCTTTCGAAGCATTTCAGCCTCCTTGTTGGCTCTCCCAGCATCCATTGTCACCGTGTCTTTGATCTGGCGGGGGTAAGGGACAAGTAGAGTAGAAGGTAACAGGAGTCCCAGCCTAGACGTCCCTCTGACTAGTGCAGGGGATGCCGGTGAGCTGGGAAACACTGGGAACCCAGCCGGACCCAGCCCACCCACGCAGCTCCTGCACCAAAGTGACTACAGGCCCGCAGTCACACCAGACTTCCGGTGTGCTTGGGTAGGGCCCCCCAGCCCCCTCCAACAGAGCCTGGGCCCAAGCTCTAGCCCCCGGGATCTCAGTGGCCGGGTGGAATGCCTCCCTGGCGTGTTCTGTCCACGTTCCGCCCTGCCACGGACTTGGCTGATAACTTACAATAAGCATGAGGAAAAGCAGCGATACACCCAAGGCAGCGAAGGGTCAGCACTGGACCTTATGCCACCCTGCCCTCTGCATCTGCAATACTGGATCTCACACTCGCGGCACACTGCTCTCTTTTTATTTATTTATTCATACAGAATTGGGGTGCAGGCCAGAATTGGGGTGCAGGCCAGGGTGGAGAGAGGATTCACCAGAGACAGAGTGGGGAGCAGAACAGGCAGATGTACTGAAATCCACTGCTGAAGGACGCCGAAGGTGAGAGAGGAGAGGTCTGCTGCGCCCTGTGGATCAAACTCATGCTGCAGGGACTGGTGATAGCTTACCAACACTGACATTTAACCCTGCACCACCAGAGAGGCTCTGTCTTGGTAATTTTTTTTTTTTTTAAATAATTAAAAGCTTTTTCACAGCACTGAGAGGCTAAAGCCACTTCTGCAAGAGTTCGATCTCCGCCTGCCCCGGAGGTGAACCACATGGCGCGGAAGACCCCTCCTGACCCGCCCACTGCTCCCCTCAGCTGTGTACTTCGTCGAGCTGCCTGTTCTGCTCCCCACTCTGTTTCTGGTGAATCCGCTCACCAGCCCTGCACCTCTAGCCTGTACCCCAATTCTGTATGCACAAATCTTAAAAAAAAATTAAAAGCTTTTTTAAGAGCATCTAATCTGTCAAGAATTTACTGTAAATAATAGGTTTAACAACTGCACATTTGAGGTCTAGCTTTTACTCAGTGTTTTGTAATACATTAACATAGGTCATATTTTAAGCATGTGAATACAGAGCTTCACTGCAGGTCTTTCCATTCTACCCTAGGAAATCACCTCTACAAATACCCAGAATGGGGGAACTGGGACGCTCCCACCCTCTCCCCCATCTCCTGTTGCTTTGCACTGGGCCCTGTCATTGCTGGTCTCCAAAATGCACTCACCCCCAAAGACTGCCTCCTTATGACAAACACAAGAAGTGCTTGCTTCACTTAGCTTTACCGAGGGGGAGAGGAGGAACGCGGTATTTTAAAAGGTGTGACCTTTCAAGAGTGCTAGGTAGCTGAGCGGGCCCTTTGCCTGCTCCCTTGACCCCCTCATGAGGAACCTGAGGGTGCAGGGAGTGGGTGCCCCAGTTCACACTTAGTGAGCAGCCGCACCCTGAATCCAGCTCTCCAGACCCCGCTCCCCACCTACGGTGTGCTCCTCAACATCAGACACCTGCTGGCACAAGCTCCCCTCAAGGACTCTTTCCTCCCAGCAGGGTGACCGCAGGCCATGAGCCAGCAAGAGATGGTTGGCTCTCAAGCGACATTCAACTGGTCTAGGCTCCAAGCACAAGGACTGCAATTCACCCCCAGGGGGGCCCCCCAGGAATCCCAGGGAGGGGCTGTGCCCCTGGTCAACTAGGCAGTAGCTCACCTCTCAGTTCTGGCAGGCCCTACTGCCCCTCTGCCTGATCATGTCCCTCCAACAAGCCCCCTCCCCTCCCACGCTGTGCCTCTCTGGCCACCACACTTAGCTCCTCAAACAAGACTGCAAGTTGGAGGTGCGCCCACACCTAGAGATAGGAAGCCAGCCCCGGGGACCAAGCCTGCCCTTGGCGGCCTGGAGCTCCCTGAGCGCAGCCTGTCTTAAGAAGCAAGAAGGGCCCTGGGAGAACACCTGTGAGAGGCAGCCGTTCCCCACAGCTGGGCACTACTGGCCAGGGGGTGGCTCCTTCCCTCGGACTGTCATATGCCAGTGGTCAGTGCCCACTCTGGAAGGTGGAAGCCAGAGAAAGGGCAGAGCTGACCCAGAATCCAGGAGACAAAGCCCCTGACAGGACCCTCGACCTCCTCTCGATGCTGCCAGATGTCCTCTCCTGGCCAGAACCCACTCTGGAGAAGGGGGTGCAAAGGGGAGAATGCAGACAGAAGGAAGGGGGTCCGAAGAGGAGGGACAAGCGCAGGCGATTTTGTCGGAAAGAAAAACCCGTCCCCGGAGGAAGCAGAATGAGAGTGAAGTCAGGAAGCGAGGCTGGCTGGAGGTCACCTCAGCTGAGGCCTCCACGAGGAGACCCTGGGAGGGTCAGGTCAGGCACTCCCAGGCCACCTCAGGACCAGGACGGCCACACACGGTCTTGTCTGCAGTGGCAGATCGAGGAGGAGGATCGAGGGGTCTTGTCTGCAGTGGCAGATCGAGGGGTCCTGCTCCAGAAGCTGCTGGGGTAGGAGCAGGGGTTCCCCTCTCCTGCCTGCTGCCTGGAACAGTGCCTAGAAAAGATTCCTGCCTCAGCTGAGAGGCAGACTTGACACCCGGCCAATGCCCCCTGCGGAGGCCAGGCAGCAGGGCACGCATGACTGCTGCCGGCCAGGTGACAGGCCCCAGGGCCGCAGGGCTCTTCACGCACCTCTGTGCTGTCTGTCTACGGTCCTGCAGTCAGTCGACCTCAGTTATCCCACGACCTCTGAGGGCACCCCCCGCACCCCCCCCCCATCACTGAGTCACCTGACTATGGTTTACTCACAGGACAGTCATTTTCAAAATCTCCCTCTTCCTCTTATTTTGTTGTCCCCAGCCTTTAAGATCTCAGATGCCGGGCTGTGAAAATGAGCTGATGATTTTTCTAAACAGTTACCAGGTTCTAAAGCATTATCTTTGCTAGTTAAAAATTCCTTCATCATAGTCTTATAAAAATGTCATCAAGTAAATACTTTTCACAATATCTTTCTCTTTGATGCTCTAGAGAGGTCTCACCCCTTTTGTATAAAACTGCCACTATCTGGCCCTTGTCTGCATATGAAAGCAATTTCCTAGGGTTCACACTAATCCTGCCGATTAGTAACCTTAGATGGGCATAATCATCACCTGAATAACAAAGATTCAAGCAATGCCTGCCCCGTGTGGGGCAGGCACGACTCTAAGTGTGTTTTCAATATTAAATATTTGATTGGCACACCCTCCCTGTGAGACAGATATTATTTCCATTTCGTAGATGGGAAGCAGGCTCACTCAGAAAGGATGGTCCCCATGACTGAGGAGGTCTACTCTCCAGGAGCCAGGCCACGTCCCCCGCATTCCCATAGCCCCTACACAGCTAGAGCGTAAGGGGACCCCGGTGCCCACAGAGGGCCTCATGGGCCTGGCCACCCCAGGGCATCAGCAGTCCAGGGCTTGCCATCCCCGAGTGCCCGACTTAAAGCCTACATTCTGATCTGCCCTCCAAAAGGGACAAGGATAAGAAGGTATGAGTAGAGAATTATTTCAGTGGAAAAAAATCTGCCCTCATCAACTTTGGCTGCTCTACACGGGGCTCAACACTGACCGATGGGATAGGAAGGAAAATCTCAACTTGGAGGGGAGAATCTGTGATGAACCTGAGCTGGCCGGGCAGGAAGGACAACAGAACCCACGCTGATGACTCCAGAGCCAAGCTCCAGAGTGGCCCCATGCCCACGCTGCTGAACCCCAGCCCCCTGACCAGAGCAGCACGACCTCCAGGGAGCAAGGCTTTAGAAAGGCCTTGGGTTCCACTCGCTGTAACATCTCAGCAGGAGCTCAGATTGCCCCTTTAGAGAGCAAACTCTCAGGCTCTCCCTGGTGGCTCAATGGGTTAAAGTCAAGAACTGTGATGCTATCTCAGCCACTGTAGCATGAGTTCGACCCCCAGCCAGGGAGCTGACCCACATGGTGTGGCAGACCTCCCCTGTCTCGCCTGCTGCTCCCTCCGAGGTGTACTTGGTCAATCTGCCTGTTCTGCTCCCCAATCTGTCTCTGGTGAATCCTTTCACTGTTCCTGCACCTCTGGCCTGCACCCCAGTTCTGTATGCATAAATAAATAAATCTTTAAAAATAAATAAATGAATGAATAAAGAGCAAACTCTCAAAAGCAAGCAGCTTGGGGAAAGGAGTCCCTCGGGATGTTCTTCCAAATTCACAAGGCCAGAGGGACAGATCTATACACTTCTGGGAATTTGACCTTGGGCTCTTCTTCCTTCTTCATGAGCAAAGCCTTGAACTATCCGCTGACTTTCCGCTTAAAACAGGTCTACAATCAGGTCTACGATCACTTAGCCCTCGGTCTGAATGTGATGTCATCTTATGCCCACACCGTAATCTCTGATGCCCAGGACCATGCCCAGACCTCTTCTTGAAGACACTGTGACCCAGGGGGAGCTGAACACTGGGCGTGAGCTCCGCAGTGACCCGGGCTGCACCCTGTAACCGGGCAGCCTTGAGGCCTGCCCAGGCTCTGGGAGCTCCAGCCCATCCTACCTCGGCCCCCGCTTTCCCAGAGGCTGCAGAGTCGGGCGGCACAGCCCCTACCTGTCTCAGCGCTTCCATCTCCTCGCTGGCTGCCTTCTTCTCGGAAGTGCTGCTCTTGAGCTTCGACTCGGCCAGCTCCACCTCGGTCTGCAGTTTGTCCAGCTCAGAGATGACCTGGTCGCGCTCGCTCATGATGAGCTTGTACTCCCGGTACACAGCGTCCCGCTCCTCCTTGTACTTCTCCGACTCTTTGGTGGTTTTCTCCTGCAAGCTCCTCAGCTCCGCCAGCTCCGACTGCAGCAGCTCCATCTCCCACTGCAGGTCCTTGTTCTGGGCCGTAGCCTTGTTCAGCTCATGGTGGATTGCCTCAACCCTAGGGGAGAAAAGCAGCAGGACGTGGGGGGTGGGGACCTGCCTGGTCAGCTCTGTGTGCCGGACAGTCAAGCATGAAGTTTCGAGTTAGGTCATTCTCCACACCCCCAAGAGAGAAAAGTCACGCAGCGCCCAGTGCCCCTGGACCTGGAATTTTTCTCAGCCTTTTGCAAATACCAGAGGTTGAACTGAGGACTTCATGCCCTGTGCTCCATCAGGAACAACAGTGTTTCTTCCACAGCCAAGCGCACTCTTTTAAAAATACATAAACAGAACTATTCTAGAATGTGAGAGGTAAATCCTAGCCTTAACAATCAGCTAGCCTCACCAACTCCCTCACTTAACGACGCAGACGACAAGGGGTGTGTACAAGAAAGACGCAAGCAACTGGCCTGAAGTCCCAGGGACTGTGCCCAGCTGCAGGGCACAGTCAGTCCTGCCGGGCCAGGCGGCACCATCCACGCTGGCCCCGCGCACAACAGCCTGGGGCTCTACAGCCGGCTTATAGAGTGGCCCTGAAACAACCCCGCACAGACCCCAGTCCACAACGGGGGCTCTCCACTCACTTGCAGGGAAATGCCGCCACATCCTGTGTCCCTCTCTTGGGGTGTCTAGCACACAGTCCCATCACAAAGGCCCCGGTAAGTCCTGTGGCAACACGCCCTGTTTACATCCAGGTTTCTATCCCAAATCTGTGTACATCCAGAGAAGACATTTGCTGTGAAACTGGGGGAACACTCTGGCGAGCTGGAGTTCCATAGGAACTCTGAAACCTTATGAAACTCATACCACCACAGATCATGTCTTAATAGAAAATGACATCTTGGGAGAAACAATGCTTAAGACAATGAGCTTTCCAGTTGACAGGAAGGTGATGGGCACAGACCCTCCCCTGCCCCCCAAGGAGCCTGTGTCCTCGGGAGCTTCTCCCAGAGCACTAGAGGGCTATGCTCCCTCCCCACCGGCCTGGCACACCTGGCCCTACCTCCTCAGGGAGACAGCGCACTGGTGCTGCAGCTGGATGGCCGTGTCCCTCTGCTGGGTCAGCATCTCCGTCTGCTTCAGCAGGCGCTGGTTCTCTTCCTCCAGCTGCTCCAGGCGGCTCAGGTCTGAATTGTGGATGGCGACCTTCTCACTGTACCTTTTCCGCAGAGCATCGTAGTCCTTCTTAACCACCTCCAGCTTGTCCAGGGCCGTGTCGTACAGCTTATTAAGAATCTCTGAGGAACCGTTGTGCTTCAGCACCTGAGAACCAGAGAGTGGCGCTGAGTGAGGGTGGGAAGGAGGACTGACACACCCTGCAGCTGTCCGTGGGGGAGCAGGACTGCTCAGGAGGGTGGGAGGCCACACCCTCTGGCCTTTAGCAATCTCAGTCGAGTTCCACAGGCCCTGCAGTCACACTGGGCCCATTCATTTGGACTGGTTCATTTGCAAGGCATGCACAGAGCAATTACTGTAGCAGGCCAGAGAGGTCTGTCCTTGGAAAAGCCTGCATGCAAGCTGACCCTGGGCTGCCATCTGGGACCATGAATGGTAAACAGGGATAAAATGATGAACACTGATCTAAAACTTGCCCCAAGTGATGACAAGGGCTCCCAGGGGCTGGACAGAACAGTGTAGCTTAAGGTGGACAACTTGCTTTCTTCTGAGAACCTGGAATTTTTCCGCCTTAGGCAGAGGGTGGCCCTATAAAAACAGGCCACAGAGGACCTGAGGGCAGATGATGGTCCACACATGTTGTCACAATTCAAAGCTGGGAAACCAAGCCTCTCCTGTGTGACTTCCCAGCAGAAATGTTCTTGGAAATTTATACCTGGTTTTCTGTGGACCCCCACCCCGTTCTCTCAGCTGATTTGGTGTCTTTCCACTGTGGGCCATTTTAGTCCGGAGTATGATTACGTGCTAAGTCCCATGAGTAAGTCGTCAAACCTGGGGATGTGTCGAGGACCCACAAAACAAGTACCTAGTAGGTCTGTACTAGTCTAGATACCAGTGATTCTGAATGGACATGTAAGGACTGGGGGTTGCGGGCATTTTATCCAGATGGCAGGATACAAACACACAGATGAACAGACAGGCAGGCAGACCAATAAGACAGATCAAATAAACAACAAGTCTAGCACAGGCCATCAAGGAAAATAAAATAAAACAGGATAATGGACTGGAGAGAGATTTTTGAGCAGCAGAGAATAAGGTTGTGAGATAGGCATCAGCCTGGGCTTGACAGGAATGAAGACGAGCAGCCTGGGGCAGCCCTGAAGGGGGCAGCTAGGGCAAAAGCCCTGAGGCAGGAACCACCAGACACAGAGAGGGTCAGATCAGAGTGGCTGGAGCCCAGAGAACAAGGAGGAGTGGTTGGTGCACAGGCCGATGGAGAGGCAGGCAGTCCTTCTCCGGCAGACTGTACTTTAGAGAACGCTTGCTACTCAGAATTGCGGGTACTAACGGTCACCTTCAGCACCAGGGGTGTGCTGTCCCCAAGAATAAAAACTGGACGAGTTAAGTTGTCAAGGACCTGTCACCTTCAGCTAAGCACCTCAGGAGATGCAAGTGACTCCACTCTAGCATCTCTGGGTTTCAATTTCCTTATTCCTCAAAAGATAGGGCTAAACCAGAAAAGCTGGCTTAACTGTTCCAACCCAAACAGTCCAGGAATCACCAGGCTCATGCAGCAAAGAACGAGTTATCAGATCTTTGCAGCCTAGAGAACTAGAACGTGGGAATGAATATTCCCTCTGGAGAGAGTAAATATTAACCCAAAACACAAAAGATATACTGATGTGAAAATTAAGCAAGGAGTTAATTCCTCTAAGACCTCTAACTACAGACTCTAGAAAAGAGGGGAATCTCAGAAAGCAACACATTCTGGGGTGTTTCTACTTTTCCCTTTGTTTCCTTATTTTCACTTTTTTCAAAGATTTATTTATGCACACAGAACTGGGGTACAGGCCAGAGGTGGGGGGGTGAGAGGATTCACCAGAGACAGAGCAGATTGAGGAGGTACACTGCTGGGCAGCAGCGGACGGGTCAGGAGAGGTCTGCCGCACCATGTGGGTCACCTCCAGGGCAGGCGGGGATCGAACTTATGCTGCAGTGGCTGTGATAGCTTCATAGTGCTGCGCTTTAACCCGTTATGCCACCAGGGAGGGCCAGTTTCCTTATTTTTATAGCAAAACTCTTTCCTTCAATGTTAATCTTACAAGGACAGCAGAATACAAAACTCCTTTTAGAAAACTGTACATAGATTGCTCTGGTTGTTAAAACCATCACTGTTTCATGAAAGTGTTTCATTGTTGGTCAGGACCTCCCTGGAGAAACAGCCAAAAAAGAAAAAAATCACTGACTGAGCCCCAACCTAACATTTAAGGTTTTTCAAAAACATAACAATGGAATAGCTTCCAAGTATACAGAAAAAAAACAGTAAAAGAAAAATTTAAGTATCTATCATGGACCATGTGTAACAGTGTGGCCCTCTGCAAAGGGCCTTCCAGGCTTCTTGTCACATCCAAGGGATGGCAGAGCTGGACAGCAAGGAGAGATAGCTAGAGAGGAGACTGAGGAAGGAGAAAAGAAAGATGGGGAGCCAGAAGGAGACCTGGAGGAGGCACATGGAGCAGAGAGATGTGCAGAAGCACTCTTGATCTCGGACTGGCTGTAACAGATGCAGGTGTCTTTTTTTCTTTCTGTAGGACTTAGTTTTAAATTCCAAGTACCAATATTTTCTCACTTACGTTTACTGCAAAGATCTTCTCCTATATGTGACACTGACGTTTTCTTGTAGGGGCTTGTTATACTAATCTTTCATATTTTAATTTGGTAAAATCTATCCATCATTTCCTTTATGTGTTAGGTTTTGTTTGAAAATTTTTTCCATTCTATCTTAAAATCACAAATATGCTCTGTTTTCTATAAACCACTGGACAAATCAGAACTGGGTGTTAAGTGCAGGACAAAAACTAAGGACACTTGCGTCTATGAGGGTGAAAACACAGGGGTAGCCCCTGATGCAACTCCCCACTGCTGGGGGTCCCAAGGGCATCCCACAGCAAGGAAGGGCTTGCTCAGGAGTACAAGGTCAGTCCAGAGCGCTCCTGGCTTCTGGGTCAATTGAGGCCTTCCACTCACATCTGGAAAAAGGCCAGCTTCAAGAGTGCACTGCCCTGATTTGTGGGCAGTACTTCAAAAATTCCAGTTAAAAATCACTTTGAGGCCCTCCCTGGTGCATAGTGAGTTAGGACACAGCACTGCAAGCTGGCTGCAGCAGCTTCGGCGCAAGTTCGATCCCTGGGCCTGGGGGTGACCCACATGGTGCAGCAGACCTCTCCCGACACGCCCACTGCTCCCCTCATCATCCCCTCATCAACAGATCTGCCTGTTCTGCTCCCCACTCTGTCTCTGGTGAATCCTCTCACTGCCCCTGCACCTCTGGCCTGTACCCCAGTTCTGTATGCTTAAGTAAATAAATCTTTTTTTTTTTTAAGTATAAAAATCGCTTTGAATGTTTACTCTCTATACACACCTAAGCCAGATGAGAACACCACTGGCTCCAAAGGAGTCTGGTTTGCTGCAGAAAAAAGGCACTGCTGCCACTCCTCAGTCTCCCACAAGGTGGCCCCCGTGGTAAACCAGCCAAGGCACCTCCATGATTGCCAGCCTTCCAAGCTTCCTTAAGAAGCCAATTTTAAAGGTGGTCTTGAAAGGACATACCTCCTTCTGGCCGCTGGCCCAGCAGAACTGATCTGTATTCCATGACTTGGCCTCTCTTCAGCCAAAACACCCTAGCTGTGAGGACTTGAGATGGGTACTGCCTGACAGTAAAGGGACAATTATGGGCAAAGTAAATGTGACAGTCAGGATGGGTCACAAGTCCCCAGCAAGACAGGGCCAGTGAGGGAGAACCCCAAAGCAGGCCCAGGGATGCTTCCAGAGGCTCACTCCAGCTCTGACTAGCAGCTGGTGGCAGCATCTGGATGCAGAGGGCCCTGGGGCAGCAGGCTAACACCAGGTACTCTTTTGACCACAACACTACCCAGTCCGTGGGGAAAACTGAGGCACTGCTTGCTCCAAGGCACTGCTGGGATTTCCTTGCTGAAATCCACCTTCCTCTACTTTTAACCACCATTCTCATTCCAGCCTGGGGTCAAGCAGACTTATCCCTTGCCCAGAGCACAGTGACCAGACATCCAGAGAGGCTCACAGTCAGCCCCAGAACCCCCCAACTTTGCTTCACATGCAGGACTCAGTCCTATTCATGCCAGGGAATTAGTAGCCTTTGAAGAAATTCAGAGGAAACATACCCCACACAGCTCCAGGAAAGTGCAGCCTGTCCTAGCTGTGAGTGCAGAATGCACCCTTTCACCATGAAAAGATTATGTTCCGAGTCGTGCCATGCAGGCACGGGAACACACATGCACACACAGCAGGCAGGTGCTCGGCTTCCGGGGACGTTAAAGAGGTCTGAGTGACAGAATAGTTGGATATGGCCCAGAATTCCAGAATGAGAAAAACAGTCGACTTCCAGTCTGGAACAGGCTGCAGTTTTTAGAGGTGAGGTGCTCGCCTCCTGCCTGTGAGGAGGGGCTGAAAATGATCCAGAGGAAGCAAACCTCTAGGGTCTGGCCCCATCCACGGGCAAGATAGTCACAACCCGCTCCAGCGGGGTTGTCAACAAGAGATGGGCCTCCCGTCCCCACTCTGCCCGCTCCACACTGGACCTCCCAGTGAGGCAGTTCCAGCAGGAACTAAGAATCCCCTCCCTGTCTTCTTCCGTCAGGCTCATGAAAGGGCATTTTTCTGAGGTATCTAGAAAAAGACGTCAGATTTTATGACTCACCAGAAAAAGCTACAAAAAAAAAGGGGGGGGGGGACATATTGCTCTGTACTGGATTCCACCTCTAAAATTCAAGCTTTAGAACCTGTGCACAAGGGGACATAGGATATAGGCGAGTGTGCCGAGAAGGGCATTTACCACCGGAAAGTGCACAGCCAACCAAGACCCTCAATGCACACACAGAGGAATGAATCAATCCCTGAACACTAACTATGAACAACTATGCCAAATTTATAGAAAATATAAGCAGACCCATGGTATATAGTAAGGTAAGAATTAAAAATAAGTAGGTATCATGTAATGTTACACAGGATTACTGGTGCTTTGGTGGCAGGTGTGGTGTGGTAACATATACCTGAAGAGTGTGAACCTATACCCCTAAATCACTCAGAGTGGGAAACACTGCTACCTCAAT